TATTTCTGATACGAATATGTTTACGTCACCTCCTGCAAAACAGCCTGCACATATTACACCTGCCAAAATTAACGTCAATGCGCCGGCTTTCTCCCCAGGCGACAGCTCCTTTAGCTTTTCAACATCAGGCCCTAAATTCAACGTCGCTGCGCCTACATTCACCCCTCACTCTAATGCCTTTACAAGCCCAACCAGTCAGGGCCATGGCAGTATCTTTGGAAGCATTGACCTTTCTTCAAGTGACATGCAATCGAACAAGAAGTCGAAGGCTATCCCCATCAGGAGACCGTCCAGTCAATCATCTGCCAAGTCTGATGAAGCCGAGGTGCAGTTTGATGTTGATGGTCGGCCTTTGGCTGATGAGAACAGAGTCAAGCGAGCACGTAGCTCTGCGCCTGGCGGTGATGATGTGCCATTATTTGCTGAACAACCTACTCAGACCGATGGGTCAGCGGAAGAAACGCAGGAAGCCACACAAGATGACCATGTTCTCCCTGCTGACACGTCAATGTCTTCTATTGTCACCTCGGACCAGATCGATACGAAGGCCACTACAGCCGCCCCGTCTGCGGCGCCTTCAGTTACGTCCACAAACGAGAATAATAACTGGAAGCCATTCGAGTTTGATTCCAACCAGGATATTCAGAACTTTAACGATGCTCGACCATTTGGTGAAGATAACTTCAAGCACGAGCACAAGAAGACTCTCTCTGCCGCTGCTGAACCCTTTCAGCCTGGGGCGAATTCTTATGGAGAAACCACTCAGACTGAAAATGAAGAAGAATCGGACGCCTCTCCCGTGGCCAGCCCGATGCCAGCCCGTGCTCCTCCTGGGGTTAATACTTCTCGTCTCAACACCAGCCAGCCTCCACCAAGAACTGTTTCTAAGGGGCTTGGTGCTTCACGGTTTGCTGATCCTCCTAAGCCTGCTAAGGGTCTCGCTGCATCCCGATTCGCTGGCAGCCCGACTCCCGGTGAGAAGCCTCTTCCCCCTCCCCCCGTCGAAGACGATGTCGTCGAATCAGTGGAGGAAGAGCCTAAGCCTGAGCTGTCTGCTACTGTAACGCATCCTGCTGGTCGTGGCAACAATGAGCCTACATTTGAGGAGATCGACGCCGTTATGGATCAATTCTTTGATGATCCTACGATGGGTGTCAACAAGACTGTCGAAAACTCACAGTGGCAGCAATCTAGCCCAGTTCGCACTCTTGCATCTATGGCTACCTCCTCTCCCTACAAACTGGAACCTGCTGCCGATCAGTATAACCGTGATGAAGCCAGCTTGACGCCTCGGGAGTACCACCCGCTTTCAGACGCTTCTGCTCAGCCGGTACCAAGCACCGAGCTAGAGGACCCATTCCTAGATCCTCCCGGAACACTGATCACTGCCGGTGGTGCTGATGCTGTTGACGGTGAGAGCCTGCCCGCTAGTGACTGGGAAGCCGCCTTTACCGAAGACGAGCATGACAAACTGGAGAGCCGAGCACAGTTCTTCGATGGACGTGTCAATGAAGTTGTTGGAAATCTATTAGCCTCACGCCTGGAGCCTCTGGAGAAGACACTCTTCTCCATCCAGCAAGTCTTGGCGACCCGAGCTCGACGTACACCTTCTTCCCGACGCGACATGCGCAGCGTCTCTGCTGAGCTCCAGCAGAGCGATGCCGATGACGAGGATGAAGAACCCGTTTTTCGTCGCTCGATGAGTCCTCGACGGGACAGACGTCTGGACCAGATTCGGATTGCTGTTATGGAGGGTCTTCAAGCTCAGCAACGCAGCAAGCTTGAGGCATCCCCTGCCCCCCCTTCTGCACCAGCCAGTTCCGAAACACCGGCCACTGCTATCCTTGAGGCCCTCGAAGGACTTAAGCAGGAGGTCACGAACAACGCGAACCGTGATAACGGTCTAAAGAAGATGATCCAAGAAGTCATCGAGGCACGCATACCTGCTGCCCCCAAGTCCGAGGAGGTAGAGAACGCTAAACTCACTGAGCTTCAGGATAAGATTACCGATCTTGAGCAGCGTCTTTACTTTGAGCAGACCAAGGTTGAGAATGAGGTCTCTGAACGTCGGGCGGCCGAGGACTTGGCGTCTGAACTCATGCGTAAGCTTCAAACCGCCGAGACCCGTATTGAGGTCGAGATCATCAACCGCAGCGTTTTCGATCAGCGCGTGGCCGACTTGGAGGAGAGGCTTAGGGGAGCTGAAGAACTCAGCGAGGATTCAGTTCTTGCTCGCCGTGCTGCTGAGGATAAACTTACTGAAGCCCGTGTTCAGCGTGAGGTAGCTGGCGAAGAGGTGGTCCGTCTGCGCGAGCTGATCGAGCAAAGAGATCATAAGTTGCGTTCACTCGAGCAGGCAAATAGCAAAACTGCTATGCGCATTGCCCTCTTGGAGGCTGCTCAGAATAACGCCACCCAGGCTCAGCACGAGGCTGTTGCCAAGTGCAAGGGCATGGAAGTTGAGCTCAAGGATGTTCGACAAGACAATCACCACTGGCGTGCAGAGGCAGAGCGATATGACGAGTCTGCTCGCCAGAAGGGTGCCGAGTTAATCCGTGCTCTCGAAGACAACCAGCATATGCAGAAATCTTTGACTACTCTTACGACACAACTTGAGGAGAATGAACGTGTTCGCGAAATGTGGCGCGGCAAGTTTGTTTCGCTTCAAGAAGACATGGGGCGGGCGGCTCGAGAGATTGCAGAAGATAACGCCCGCCGTATCAAGAAGGATCAAGCTATGCTTGCTAGACAGGAGGTCTTGGATGCTCGTCTTCAGGCTGAGGCTAAGACCCGAGAGCGCTTGGAGATTGAGATGGAGCGTCTGCAGTCGAACGAGCGAGCTGGTATGCGTGCAACTAATGAGTGTTCTCGTCTTGAAGGCATTATTGGCGAACTGAAGACAGAGAACCACAAACTCGAGGAGAAGGCTATGCGTTACCAGCGCGAGTTTGAAGAAGCTCGCGAGTCTGGTATGAGTGAAGTAAAGCGGACCCGCATGGCGTTGCAAACCGAGATCGACGCCGCTAATAACCAAGTCAACTACATCCGCGAGGAGCTCGAGGAGCATAATTCTAAGCTTCGCGCTGAGCTTGATAACGTCAGACTCGAAGTGGATACAGCCAAGGCCCAGAATGAGATGCTTCTTGAAGAGGTTGAGAACAGCAAGACAGCTGAAATCGAAGAGCTCATGCGAAAGCACCAGAATGAAATTGAGGATCTCCAGACACGGTACGAGCGCCGGGTCCACAACGCCCAGGAAGATGCTCACAAAGCCGAACAACACCTTCTGGAGCGACTTAGCCTGTCTACGTCCAAGACCGAGCATCTTCAGGATCGCATCTTACACCTCGAAGATAAGTTGGAGATTGCCAAGCAGGCTGCTGCTGCTGCGGCTCAAGCTGCTAAATCTGCTGGAGCTGATGTCAACATCACTGTCGCCCAGCCTAGACAAGCATCACGAGATCTCGAACCTCCTGAGAGAATCTCTCCCCAGGCTCTTCGTGAATCTATCATGGTTCTCCAGGAGCAACTCCAGGCCCGCGAGCAACGCATTGAGGAGCTTGAACACTCCTTGTCCAAGATGGACCCTGAGGCCTCCACAAAGATTACCAAACGCGATGATGAAATTACTTGGTTACGCGAGCTTCTCGCGGTCAGACATGAGAACCTGCAGGACATTATTGCCGCCCTGCAAAGTGATCGTTTCGACCGTGACGCAGTGAAGGATGCGGCGATTAGACTCAAGGCCAACCTCCAAATGGAGGAACAGGAACGAGAGAGAGCCATGAACGGTGGTTCTGCGATCAACCTACCAAACATCGCTCAGACAATCCAGAACGCTACGCCGCGTGTGGCACAAACTATTGGCCCTCTTGCGGCTGCTTGGGGCAACTGGCGAAAGGGGAACCGCAGTCAACCATCGCTCAGTAGCCTGTCTGGCGTCCTCAGTTCGCCAGCTCCTCGTCGAAACGCGACGCCATCGCGTAGCAACTCGACCTCCCAGAATAACTCGCTGGGTGGCCTCATGACACCTCCCGCTTCTAGTCTTCGTCAAACGCCCCCAGAAGACAATAAGCCTCAGCCTACCGCTTTTGCCAGCACCGGGCGCCGATTTCCATCACAAAGCTATGGTTCTGCACGAGCACGGGGTGCTTCAAACACCTCACATCGAGCAGAGCCCACTGTTGTGACGCCACCGCCTAGGGAGTCGGAAGATGAGCCCATGACTCCCACCATGATGCGAACTAGTGGCTACGATTCGGATGCCCAACCTGGAGACTTTGACGATAACGATTTCTTTGAAGACTGAACGGATTCGAAGACGTATCGGCTTCGGCAGGGGACACTCTGTCATGATTATTTATATTAATTTTTTCCTTTGTCAAAATCATCAACTACGGCCGATGCATACATATATGCGTGTTCACATTATTACACTAGTTTCACCAAGACTGCGAACCTAGAGAGATACCCCCTTTTGGATTGATGTTTATGCCACACAGATTGGGATTATTTGTTCTTTATTTTCATGGAGTCTTTCGTTTGTCTCGCATTGTTCAACTTCATGATGAAGCTCGTGTTTTGGGGGGAGGAGGACTGGTTAATGAAGAAGGCGGCCAAACCTAAACAAGAAAAAGGATTAAATAAACAACGGCTGAAAAATGATAGTGGACCAACAAGTTTTGTTATTTTAGTTATTATACTCACTGTCGTTTGCATAGCGGTGTGATGGACGTCAATTTGGCGCGGTACAGCATCAAAGACGATTGCTCGTTGTACATAATCATAATCTACTCTCAAATGAATTGTTAAACAGATGCGCCAAATTGGGGTGACGCACTGCTGCTACGAAGATGGCGGCACACTTATTTCGAACCAGGCTACAGTCACCAGATAGCTGTGTAGTGGGAATCCTTCTCTTGTTAACATTATGTGACATATAGCTATTAGAATGAACAAACAACCCCCCACGATGTCCAAGACTACTGTTGTTTTCCTTTTCAGTGGTTACTGAGAAGCTTCTCTACCGCCCATTTTACCGAGAAATTCCGCAGGTCTGAATAGTGCTGACCAACTCCGACAAAAAGTACAGGGACGTTTGTCGCGTGAACAAGACTAACAAGAGTGCCGACCATGTCACCAACAGTGTCACACTTAGAGATGATGAAGCCATCAAGTGTGCGAACAGCACCAAAAGCAGCGTTGAAATTGCGTGCTTGAGCGACTGAGTCGGTACCTACAAGAGCCTGAGATTGAAATTAGTTAATGCAGTCTGGGTTTCGAAGAACGGATGACATACCTCGCCAACCATGAGGATCTTGTCAGGTTGAGCAAACTTGGCAAATTTCTCAAGAGAAGACATAAGACGTTGATCGTTATGTCTTCTGCCAGCTGTGTCGATGAGAACGACGTCGTAGCCCTCATGCGCAGCATGGGTCACGGCATCCTTTGCAACCGTAGCAGCATCCTTACCATATCCTTTCTGGTAGAGTTCAACGCGACCACCTTCACGAGCCGTCAACTCCTTGAGGTTGCGGACGTGAACAGCAAGTTGCTCAACAGCGCCTGAGCGGAATGTGTCACCAGCGGCGATCAGAACCTTGTACTTATTCTGGAGGAGGAAGAAGCAAATTTTGGAGAGGTTGGTGGACTTTCCTACACCATTGACGCCCACAATTGACATAACATAGGGACGAGCCTTGCGGAGAGATGTCACTGGGGGAGCCGTGATGGCGTCGATTTCGCGAAGAAGGTCGAGGGATGATGTCGGGGTAAGCATCTTTGTGAGCGAGGCCTCCATGGCGGCTTGAATTCTGGCATTAATACCTGCGAAACTGGTCAGAATAGGGCCAACAGGATATGATAATTGTCCGTCAACGTACTCTCGAAACTACCAGTTTTGACACCAAGCAGTTCCTTCTCGACACCTTCGCATAGACGGACAGCAGCCTCTCGTGCCACGTTCTTCTGAAGCAAGTGCTCCTCCATACCCTTCATAGCCTTGTCGAGATCTTCTTTAGTCAATGTCTTGCCTCCAACAACGTTGCGGAAAAGACCGCTAATAGCGCTGACGCCCGACCCCAAGAGGCCAGATCTGGTCTGTGTCTTTGCTCCCGCTGCTTTCTCTGCTTCTGAAGCTAAGATCTCATGCACCTCGTCACCAAGATCCTTGAGCACGAACTTGCCCTTTGATGTTGAGCCCCATGTGTTGGAGTCAATTTCATCTACAGCTGATGACCGCCCCATTGTCTCAACCTCCGAGTCACTGGTAGCGTGCGTCTTTGCGGAATAGTCAAGCTGGACATCGTCTTCCTCGTCGGCAAAGCCATCGGCGTCCCATTTGCGCCCCTTCTTGGCGACTGCCTTCTTCTTTCGCGGCGCTTCGTCGCCAGAAGACACCGGAGCTGAAGTCTGGTTCTTTGCTTTGCGCGCTCGGCGAGAAATCTTTGCGATAGGGCCGCCCTTTGCGACAAGGAGATGGTTATTCGGTGTTCCGGGTCGTGATCCGTTCGGCGTCAAGGCGGGGGTTGACTCGTCGGCTGAAAGGGCATCCTGGGGCCCATTGAGGTGGCGCCCTCGGTATGTTAGACCTGGCGCAACGGGAGGGTTGTCGCCAGTGTTTCCTGAGATGATTTCTTCTTCTAACGGGACTGCGCCAGCCGTGGTGGTAGTGGAGGGGACCTTAGTACTAGTCTGGTCAAGCTCCTCGAGTTGTACGTCGAAGTATTCATCGAAGGCGTGGCATTCAACGAGGGTAGTATGCGGTTTGGTCAATTGTTCACCGTAGAGGTTGACGAAGATAGTCTTGATATTGTCAACGAGCTTGTCGACCCATGAGAGGTGGAGGAGGGATCTGTAGACGGCCTAAAGAGAGAGTGGAGACGTCAGCGCCGAGGATCGGGGGAGAAGCCATCATGACAAGTAAGGCTCGGGACTCACGACGAAGATAACGCCCAATTCCTTAACCAGAGTCCATTTGAGAGTATGTTGATCGCTCTTGTAGGGAGTGTTGACAGCCGCGGACCTTGAGTCGCTGAGGGCGATAGCGCCGCTCTTCTCCTCGATAAAAGTGTCTGCTATGAAGTTGTTGATGATGGAAGGATTTATGGGAGTATAAGTGCGTGACCAAACGACCACGCCCGAGGTGGTTAATATTTCGAAGGAATCTAACATTTTGCGAGTATCTCTCTTGAACGTTGGACAAGAGGAATGATGATGCTGGTGGGAGAATTAAGGTGCAAGCCAACGTGGAGGCGAATATTCGTTGGTAGATGTGGCTACTCTAGAGCACAGAGTGGGAGACTAATGGGCACGTCTAGTTAAAGATAAGATAAAACCGCTGCACATCAAAAAGAAAGGACAGGGACCCGGACACGCCGTTTGGGCCTAGGCCGTCCTTGGAGGAAGAAAATCCAACCCTAGGAGCAGCCATGTGACGATCATTGAGAGCATGACAATATGGATCAGGTCAACAGAGAATATTCTTGGTTTTACTAGGTAGGTACCTAATGATAAAAAATATCTTCTGAATAAACTCAGGCGCCTCTGCCTTCTCTGTTGGACTCGATGTCGAAACAATCACGTGCGTGGTCCTTCTAACTTAGAAGGAAACAGGGGCTGACGTTGAGCTCCTAATCCTAACTGTGGCAGTGGAGGTTGCCAGGCTGGAGCTCTCCATGATGCTAGCGCCCAATCAGATGAAATCGACACATTTCCTGAACTCGACCTACCAGACACTGAACAAACACCAACTTTACGTTTAACCTCGTCATCAGCCATCACCAACTCGCCTGAACTCACCTCGAGACCTCGAATCGGCGGGAAAAAGCAGAAGAATACACAGCGCATAAAAACACGCACTCTCCTCCGTCATGCAGCGAGCGACATACGCGCAGTCGCCTCCCCTTCACCATCCAGTTCCTCAGCATGTGTCGACCGTCCCTCAATTAAGATCGCCGCCTCCTCCTCCAGGCTCCGCGCAATCACAGCAAGGCTACGCTGCTAACGCGGGAGGAAATCCATATCAGCAGCAGGGAGGCACCAGCGGCAACGTCTTTGGCCAGTATGGCAACTTCATGAACGACCCTACAGCGCAGGTGGCGGCGCAGTTTGGACAGACGGCCTTTAAGCATGGACAGGAGTATATGGAGCAGAACGTGAGTCCTACCAGTAACACGGTGGTCTTGGTGGCACCTGGTACTAACTGCCGCGATAGTTTGGCCGATACGTCAATGTCTCCGCCCTCAAGCATTACTTCAACGTCTCCAACTCATACGTCGTCAATAAACTCTTCCTTGTCCTTTTCCCCTGGAGGCACAAGCCTTGGTCTCGTAAGCAGGCTGTCGGGCAGAATGGACAAGAGGGCTGGTATCTACCCCCTCGAGAAGACATCAACAGTCCCGATATGTATATTCCAGGTGCGTAATGCAAGGTTGGAGACCGCCGGAGTTGGACGAGTTGGCTAATTGTAGTACAGTTATGGCACTTGTGACATACATTCTCCTGTCGACGCTGATCGCTGGCCTCAACAACCAATTCCAACCAGAGCTCCTTGGAAAGACGGCTACAGTTAGTCTAATTGTTGTCATCGTTGAGATCTTCTTCCTGAAGCTGGGATGCTACCTCCTGAGCATCTCTAGCCAATCCCAACTCCTTGACTTGATTGCCTATTCTGGGTACAAGTTTGTCGGGATCATTGTCACTATTGTCGTTGCCGAGATCCTGAACGGCGGCAAAGGTACCGGTGGCTGGGTTGGCTGGTTGGTCTTTGTCTACACCTACCTTGCAAACTCGCTCTTTTTGGTAAATTCCATGATGACTTGGCAACGCAAACATACACTTGCTAACTATTTGCTTAGATGCGATCACTCAAGTACGTCCTCCTGCCCGAAACATCTGCCGGCTCTAGCGGGCCAATGCAGACGGACTCACGGGCGAAGCGCAGCCAACGCACAAAGTTTCTTTTCATCTACTCCTACTTTGTGCAGCTCTTCTTCATGTGGCTTCTCACCAGGGCATAATGAGCGATAGCTCACAATGAATCACATGTGTCCAGGAGATCTGCATTGCACTCAAAAGGGCTCAGACATCTGGGAGATATAAACATTGGTCAACGAACCATGGGGCGGAGACGGTAATGAGGGATGACTGGGGATGTATGATAGCAGCTTGATCTGAACGACGAAGCATAAAAAACGTCAAATGATTTCATTTATTATATCATGAGCTATAGATTTTAATGATATTTGCCTAACGCCATTACACGACCCTCAGGCAGAGAGAAAACACCAGACCTTGATATAGGGTGTTAAAATAAACTTAGCAAACGATATCCTAAATTTATGCAAATTTACCTGAGTGTTTTTGCCATTTAGGATCAAGGTCCTGAGTTTTCTTTCCTTCCCTAGCACGACTACTTACCTGCAGCACATGCGTGTCTTGTAAAGTAAGGGCGCAGTTGATATCAACCAATTAGACATGGCTCGCATCAAACTATATATCTCTCTCCACACATCTCATGAATGATTCATCAGGTCCCTGTCTCTCTTGTTTCATCGAAAAACAACACCGCTTTCACGAGCTGCTTTTGTTAACCCTAAAATCCAACTTGAGTAACCGAAAACATCCCAGCACTCTCAGTACTTGGGTAGAGTGCCCTCAGAAATCTTGGCTCGCCTATCTTAGCGCTGATCTCACTGTCTCAACCAACTTAACACGTCTCTATTCTTATCAACTTTTCAACATCGTCTTCTCTTCCATTCACATGAACCCTTGATTTTCCCTACAATCATAGCAAAAATGGACTATCCTCCCGTGGTCATGGCCACTATTCAGAGTGCTGCTTTGGGCGGCATCGCCAATATCTTGGCTCAAGGCATCTCGGCCTACAGAGCTGGGGTAAATCTGGTATTTACATACGCCTTGGAATGTCTGAATGCTGTTATTGACCATCTTCGTCTAGAATGATATTGTGATAGACTGGATTCCTGTGTTTCAGTTCCTCCTCTTCAACGTTATCTGTACACCACCCAACTTCTACTGGTATGTTTCTTCTTCCCCTTGAAACCTTCAGACTGACAAGCTCCAGGCAAGATTTTCTTGAATCAACGTTTCCCGCTCATCCTGATGAAGTCCCTAAAGCTAAGGACTCCAAGGATGATAAAAAGACTCAACCCAAGCTTTCTATACGGAACACACTTATCAAGTTCTTTCTCGACCAGACTGTTGGTGCTGCTGTGAACACCCTGCTCTTTAGCACGTACACCCATGCGCTACGTTCAGCTATACAACCCGCTCCCGTCATCACCAGTCTCACTAAAGCCATCACGTATTGGACTTCAGCAGGCACTCTGGACTTTGGACGTGTTGACTGGACAGCCGTTTGGGAGGCTTCCAAGGTCGATTTTGCTCCCCTTATATTTGCTGGATGGAAACTTTGGCCCGCTGTCAGCATTGTCAACTTTGCAGCGGTCAAGACTGTTGAGGGACGCAACCTCGTAGGTGCGTTGGCTGGTGTTGTTTGGGGAATTTATATGAGTCTAGTTGCTGCCCAGTAGACCATAGCGATATAGGCTTTAGCAATAGACTCTGGCTAAGCCGAAGCATATAGGGAGACAGACAACAACTCAGCCGAGTATACACGGGATACCGAGAAATGCTCGGTGGGTAGTTCTGATCTTGATGGAGGCAGCAAAACATGAACATGTACGTAACCTCGAAACCTGAAATAAAACTTGTTGTATATTTGGCCGCTCTTCATTCTTTACGCTTGCATATCAAATTCCCAACCTCAAGCGTTCAAATACCCCAAACTACTCACCGACAGAACTTCCTCCAGTCATGCCAATCCCAAAGGGTCAGAGTGTGCTTGAGACGATACATTCTCGACCCCTTATTCGAAAAGTGACTCGCTAACCGAGCAGGAGGAGTCGCTGGCATTTTCAAACAGATCGTCCTCATAACAGTCCTCAAGAGGCACATATTGCTGAGGCATAGAATTGTGCCGAGGAGAGGTTGTGTCTGTGACACCGAGACGTGATGTTCCCCCAAGGGTATGATTGGAGCGAAACCATGGCCTTGAAACACCCCTGGTGCTTGCACTGCCAAAACGTCTCTGGGGAACGAATAGTCGACCACCGGGCGATGGGTCGAATATGGCTGGTTGACCATCGACATTGATCCCAATTGCTTCAATTGGGTGGTTGAACTGGTCAACTATACTCGAGGGCATTGGTGCGACCAGACGGTTTATATCGTCTACTTCCGAGCTTATTACGAGATTGGACACGGGCGATGGCGGGTGTTCTGCCGTGCTTTCACTCTGCTTGGCTGGTCTCGGCGGTGACGTTGGGCGCGCACGAGGTCTTATGAACCAATCTGGTTCTGGTGCCGTGGCAAAGACATCGAACTTGGTGAAGAGGTTGTCGGCAACTTGGTACCAGTGCATAAGCCAGGACCGCATCTTCTAGAGGTATTCTTCGGTTTGCTCGGGCTGCAACATTGTGCAGGAAAAGTTGTAGATGAGTGCCAGTACCCATCTGATATCCTTGGGTAAGTCTTGGCGGGCTTGAATGATGCATGACCATTCGCGAGCTGCCTCGAAAACCGGATCGCCATCGTGTTCAATAGCCCGCAATGGCCTGAGGATGCTAAGATGATCAATGTTCTCACAGCATGGCTGGTAAGCCCGAAGGCCATCGAATGTCATGAACTCCAAAAGAAACATAGTCGGTATGCGAGGATGTTCGATCAAAATAGTTGACAACCTGCGATATGTAATGTGGGTACAAGGTAGCGCATTGTGGTCAGGCATGTCCAGAAAGACGTTAGAATCCAGCATGTCGACAGCCCGGCCTCGAATATCGTTGTTTGTAGTCGGAGGTAATCTCATGCTCTCATGCGCCATCGAAGAAAGTTGGATTGCGGAAGCCTTGAGGTCTTGAGGGTGGATCCAAAAGGCATAAGAATGCCCGTGGAAGAAAACGGCAGCACAATCTCCGCAGAAAGGCTGAATAACAGGTCGAGTTGTCCATATGGCATGATGACATTCGTGGACTGGACAGAAGTACTATACCCGTCGCCCAGTGAAAAGGCCATAGTGAGACAATCGATGGCGCTCAAGGACATCGTGAGTGTCGGTGGTGACGGAGAAGCACTCGCACATTGTGATAGAATGAAAGCGAAAGATGATGATTTGAAAGGATTTCCCGCGAATTAGTGCTTGTTTTCAAAACGAAAGATTGTCAGATATTTCGTAAGGTTGAACAGGATAGCAGTTGGATGTTGTCAGTCGAAAACCACCAAGGTATGCCAATAGGCCTATATAGAGTCCCTAAGCTTAGGGTCCGAGGCAACAGGGCTTACCTACCTAGCACCTATATTCTGTAGGCTCAGCAGATGGGTGCGATATCCACCAAGGCACCTCAGGCTTGGAAGGATCCATCTGTAGTGTCAAGCAGGAACCATTGACGCCCATCGGACAATTAATAAAGGCCCAAGAGCCAGGTTGTTGGGCCAGGCGCCTCTTGATACCAGGTCAGCCCGGATACTGTACCTGCTCTAAACGCGCCACGCAGAAGCCATCGTGGAGTCTACCTCAGGCAAGGCGCCTAGTACCTAGGTAGGTAAGTTATCGATCGGGAGATAGCTGCCAAGGCAGGTAGGCATTTACCAACCATCAAACTGGAAGGTCAGATCTGATAATGGCTACCAAGAGATCTCGCCAAGCGTTTTGGCAGATCAAGCCCTTGGACTGTTGAATATGTTATCCAATGCTACCTAAGCTAGTCCACTGACTTGCCAAAGATTGGAAGAGATCGCTGCTCGTACGGCATTCACGTCTCTGCCCTAGGCTGTAGCAACTCAACAACTACGGATAGAATACGCAGAATTCATCCATGGAACCTTTGCGTCTGTGGTGGGCCAGGCCATCGCGGAGTCCCCCTACCTACTTGAGATACCAGCATTTCTGAGCAGCGGCCAAGTCCAACTTGGGACTGGAAATCGAAGCTTGTTGACTAGCACGGTACCGAGAGCTTGGTGAGTTCGGGAGATGCGCAAGCACCCGAGTGCGAGCCAAACTCAAACAGGTAGGATAAGCAATGTGCACGAGGATGACAGTTGTCACCCGAAAAGCTAGTAAACTTACTCACCATCCATCATCATTGATCGATCGATTTGATGCCCACGCTGTGTGAGACAAATTCCGAGATCGGTGGGTGCAAGCATGCCAAGGCGTCGGCTGCGCACATCGTAACGTGCCTTCGAGATAATATCCCGATCTCAAATTGGCCGATACGAAGATGGCTTCCCTGCTTCCAACACGGACAGCTCATGGCTGCAATGCTCTTAGCGCTGAAGCACGGCTGAGAGACAGTCTAGGTACCCAGGTAGGTAGGTAGTAAGTAGTTTTTGCCTCCGTAAGCTGCATGCCGTGGTGTTGCGCTACACGCACATAGTTCCGTTTTGCATCAAAAACCACATACCTAGTGTCGACGCAGCGAATCAGATATCGTAGTTAGCGAGGTGCAGTTGCATGCTTTTCGGCTATCGTCAGGCTCAAGTTGGCTTTGTCCGTCTTGCAATTGCAATGCATGCTGTTTCTTCTTGTGTGTATTTGATAGCCAACATCGTCTTTGTTGCAATGGCAGGAGTTCAAGTTACGAGCGTTTGGATTAATCGCACTCAACATGGCATTATTGTGCTTGGTTGAATCCTTGAAACAACTATGGACCAGGATCCTCTCCATGGGGTTTTGTCTCATCGAATTTCTCTTGTAAAATTCGCTCAGTTGAAACATCTCGAGTCATGGCACCGGCAACTTTCATTTTCGGTCACTTTCGACACCATCTCCTAGACATTGCCATCCCAACAATGTATGCCAGAAAACAGGTTCCATTTCGGGGATGGCCTCTCTTTCTCCTTCTGCTTTTGCCCATGGCGCCTCTTTCAATGAAGCTGGTTTTCTTTCATAGGCCACCGGAGCAATTATTGCTTAGCCTCTCTAGCCTCTCAACCCCCAGCCCCCATCTCTACTTGATCTCCAGTATAGTGCATGGCGTGTCTTAGCGTGTCTGGTCTGTAAGGGGGTTATTTCAGGCAAGTCCGAAAAACTACGGTGAGGTCTTCCTGATCTATTTGGAGAATCAGACTGATTTGTATGAATGACCTAGAGTTTCACTATGGCGAGTATCGCATAGAGCGGCTCTTATTCAGTGTCATATGAGTAAGAAGAAATCGAAGCTTGATTTAGAACCTGGAATCCAGGAATCCGCCGGCAGCCAAGAACCAAGAAGCAGGTACTGTAGTGGAGACAGCCACTAAAATGACCGTTCCTCTTTTGGTGGAAAAAGCCACTAAATTTTGTCATTCATCATTCATCACCCACTAACAAACTCGTCCATCCACTCAGGCTTCTTCTGCAGCAGGGCGCAAGGCATAAGAGACCCCACCAGGGCACATTACAGGCTTACAGTAGATCCCCAATCCTAGCACCTGCTTGGCGCTGGCGATTCAGAACTTCCCGTCCCGTACCAACCAAGGCCAACATAACACGCCCATACCCATTCAATTTCTTCCCGGCCACGACAAGACGATGGCTTCATGTTCTTCTTTGGGCTGAACGGACCCGAGCCTTTCTTTTCGCTTCTAATTACACGTCACTGATCGCGTGCGACTTCGACGACCTCGATCATCACTGAGATCCCACCTCAAGGCCCCTCCAGTTTGCGACTGCAATGACGACACAAAATACGACCAATACCTCACCTCTCTCTCGATCTTAGGGCGCTCGCCGTCCACTTCTTCAGTAGTTGCTGAGCCGTATCGATTTCTGCCAGCCCTCATAGTCTCATAGTTTGGGCTTTGGCATGATCATACTGCTCAATGCCGCCTCCAGCTCTTCAACACCTCGGTCTTATCGACCTTGTCGCTTCTGACCCTCGACCAACATTTGTCGTTGCATTGCCCGAGCAGACATCCTCCAATATATCCCATTATTCGGCCGACATCCTGTATCGAAACCCTGCCTTGCAGAACTCTTATACCCTCGACCACTCTATTGCCTCTATCCCTCAAGATGTTTCCCACTCGCCGTTCTGGAACTGGGTCACCAGCCCGCCGTCTGCGCCAACGTCTCACACAGATGCCACAGGTCCTGCACCAACAAATACGCAACACTCACTTCCATATCTTGGTGTTTACTGGACGCGAAGCATAGTTCTGGGTCAATGGGTGGTGATGAGTGGAAATGAAACGCCTCCTTCGTCAGAGCCCCCGCGCAAAGTTCGAATAGAGGGAAAGGAGGGTGAGACAACTAGAAGATATCCCCAAAAATCGCCACTGGATAATGCGCGTTTACCGTCCCGAAAAAAGTCGGAGAGCAAAACTCCACTGCATTATCGCGATGAATCAAACCCAGGGCTCATGGTTCCCGTCTCCGACTCCGAAGCAGAGCCATTTCTTGACGTGGTTCAAAATGTGGATTGGGAGTCGACATTTCTGGGACCCATGTCAGATTGGCCCGCTCAACTTCAGCATACATTTAATCAGCTCGTCTCAGATTCGCGACCAGTGGCGCTCTATTGGGGTTCCGAGTATGTCACGATTTACAATGAGGCCTTTTCAAAATACTGTGGCGCTCGACATCCTGGACTTTTAGGACGACCAGCGCCAGAAGCTTGGCCTCATCTTAAGACTAGACTGGATGAAATGACGGCTTCGCCATCGAAAAACTATTCGAATGCTGAGGATGAGTCCAAATTTTTCATCCCCTTGGCAGACGGCTCACATGAAGAGACATATGTCAAATCTTCTATGGTCCCCATTGTCTACGACAAGAAATGCCTGGGAATCCAGCACTCGCTACTCGAAATGACCTCAAGACGACTTTGGGAGCGAAGGATGAAAATGCTTATTGATCTCGGTGAGGCTCTTGTCTCTACGAAGGATGCCAAGTCGTACTGGTCCAGGACGATTGAGGAACTAGAACGCTGGAGTCCTACCTACGATGTCCCATTGGCCTTTTTGTACTCCGTGGCAGACGACGAATCCGACATTACCCTTTCAAAATATGATTGCCCCAAGATTTGTCATCTTGAGGGCTCACTGGGCGTGCCAGAGGGACATGCGATTGCTCCTCAGGTCCTCAGCCTCAGTGAAACAGATGAGGGGATGGCTTCTGTCATGAGGAAGTCGTTGGACCACCGTCAACCAATTCTTTTGCAGACAAAGGACGACACATTGCCAAAAACCCTGTTGCACGGTCTAGCATGGCGCGGCTTTGGTGACCCTTGCCAAGCTGCCATCGTGTTGCCTATTCGTCCAACTAAAGAAGAAAACGCTATGGGTATTCTGTTCCTAGGCTTGAATCCTCGACGCCCATACGATAACGATTATCGGCAATTCATATCCTTGTTGAACCAGAAGCTTACGAGCTCCCTTGCTTCCACAGTTCTCTTGGAAGAGGAGGCCCGGCGGCGGCGCAACATTACCGAGCAGGCTGCCTACGATAATGCCATGCTTAAGCAGCGACTAGAATATCAAACCGAACAGGCAGAGAGATCCATGCAAACGTTTACCGCAGTCGCAGACTTTATCCCCGTGGGTATGTGCTTTGTGGATGTCGAAGGTAATATCACGTTTGCCAATGATGCCTGGCATCGTATCACCGGATGTCCAAGAGGACCAATTGTGCAAAGCGCACTTCTCGAGTCAGTGCTTGAGGAAGATAAGCAAAAAGTTATACAAGCATACAAAGACGTCCAGAAAGTCGACACTGTTACTTTCGAATACCGCATCGCCCGAAACGGTAACACAGCGGACTCCAAGAGCTTCAAGTCTTCTACAAGTTCTTTATCTTCAAACGGTGAAAGAGTCTTGCGTCATATCCTGGCTTCTACGAAGGCCGAGAGAGCTCCAGATGGCAGTGTCATTCGAATTCTTACTTGCCTGACTGATGTAACGGTACAAAAAGACACGGCCGAGGAGGCGGTCCAGAGGGCACAAGAAGCAGAGAATCTAAAGCGTCTCGCCGAGTTTGCCACGGTTGGAATGTACGATGTCAGCATGGATGGAAGACTGCTTAGCGCGAACAATCTTTTCTGGGAACTGACAGACTTAGAAAAGGTTGATCTCACCAAGACCGACGTGAGACCTTGGCCAGAATGTGTTGTGAAGGAAGATTTGCATATCCTACAGGAAAGCCTCGATAAGCTAGTCGTATCAGGACGAACTGAAACGGCCGAGTTTCGACTCCGGAACGGCTTGGTGACAGAGGACAGCAACGGGAATTCAGCTGTGGCCCCACGATGGGTGCTTGCTACGTTCATGCCAGTTAGAAGCTCTGACGGTGTGATTCAATCCTTTACCGGCTGCCTGAGCGACGTTTCGATACAGAAATGGCAATTGGAGCAAGAGAAGCTTCGCAAAGAAGAGGCGATCGAGTCGAAGCGTCAGCAGGAAAACTTCATCGACATGACCTCACACGAGATGCGGAATCCATTAAGCGCTATTCTTCACTGTACCGACGCAATCATTGCCTCTCTTGCAAGAGTACAAGACATCAGTGACAACTCTGCCCCTCTTACACCAACACGAAGCGGCTCTCAAGGCGATGAGAGAAGTATTGGCGAAAGATCCGTTGAGGAGAAGAAGCTCTTGGAAGACAGCATCGAAAACGCCGAGACCATTGTGACGTGCGCTCAACACCAGAAACGCATTGTCGATGACATTCTCACAATGTCTAAACTTGACTCCAAGTTATTGGCCGTAACGCCCTGCACGGTAGATCCGATCCAGATTGTGAATGGCGCTCTCAAGATGTTTGAAGTGGAGGCTCGGCGTGTAGATATTGAGCTGACCTCTTACGTCGACAAGTCGTACAAGGATCTCGCATATGACTACCTGGACTTGGATCCAAGCAGAGTTCAGCAAGTTTTGATCAATCTCCTCACGAACGCGCTGAAGTTCACCAAGTCTGGCACTACCCGGCATGTCACTGTCGGGGTTAAAGGGTCTCTGGAACCACCCGGAGAGGCCATGACAGTGGTTCAGTTCATTCCTCGATTCTGCGATGTTTCAGAGGAATACGACCAACCCGCGCTTAAGGGACGTACTCGTCCTGTGTATCTCTTGTTCGAGGTAAAGGATACGGGCCAGGGTTTGACGGTCGAAGAGATGGGCAGCCTCTTCAATAAGTTCGTTCAAGCGAGCGCCAAGACGCATACCAAATACGGAGGATCAGGACTTGGGTTGTTCATTTCCCGGCGCTTGACAGAACTCCAGAACGGTGCGATTGGGGTCTCCAGTCAACCTGGCGTGGGATCAACGTTCGCGTTCTATATCGAGGCTTTTGTGCCAAGCGAAGCCTCCCGGAATGAAGCACTCGCTGCCGCGGCTGCAGCCAGGTTGATTACCGGTGCTGACGGTGCTGAAGCTGATGGCAAACGACCCTGTCGAGATATTCGCTTGCAGAAGCATCAAAACCCAGGAGGAAATGTTCGGCTTGATGGGATTTTGGTTGTCGAAGACAACCTGATCAACCAGCAAATCACGAGACGCGGGTTGACGGACAGAGGCTACATGGTAGATGTTGCTAATCATGGAATTGAAGCCCTCGACAAGCTGAAACACAGGCAAGGCGGTACCCCGGGACTTGGCCTCAAGGCAGGCAGTAGTCGCTCGGGGAGGAGTAACATGAACCCGCTACCTATAGCTATCAATCTCGTTCTTATGGATATCGAGATGCCGATCCAGGATGGGTTAACGTGCACGCGAACCATTCGCGAACTAGAAGCGGAGGGGGAAATCTTCTGTGCGTCTGGAGGCCGCATTCCCATCATCGCTGTTACGGCCAATGCACGGCCGGAACAGGTTATGGAAGCCAAGCAAGCTGGGTGTGACGACGTTATGGTAAAGCCATACAGGATACCAGAGCTCATTGAGAAGATGCAAGTGGTGGTACGACGGATGGGAGGACTCAGCCCGAACTCCCCAGTGAGATGATTGGTATTATTTAGAGGGCTGGAAAACAGCTACAGCCCAGGTGGGATTTCATTTCGACTCACGAATGCTGGCGTTGGCCAAGGTCAGGGGCCGTATGCGGAATAGAGACGGGAGCATCATGTAGTTGATCTCAAACTGTCTGGAACAGGCTGAGACAGGTTGAATGACCAACCGAAACATGGTGGGTAAATAAAAAGATGGCATAAGAAGGCGTTCTGGCACATAAGTGCATACGCACAGCGGAGTTTTGGTCATTTGGCTTGAGGATATATCGTATATCATGGCATGGGACAGCGTTGAATGGGCAATGGCCGACCACCTTTTAGGGAACGGTAATTCTGGTGAATGGAATTTAAGAGCAAGGCGATAGCACTTTTTTAAGACTTGGATTCAAAATAAAACAAAACGTATCAGTCATGATCAGAGTAATTTTTGCTGTTGTGAGTTTATGTCGATGGGTAGGTAGTGTTATCTGCGCATCTGTTGATGGCGATGATGTTCCCCCACCCGGGCCGGATGGGGCCGCTGGCCGGTACCTACCTTGCCCTACATAGTACGTAGGGAGGAAGATGATTGAATAACAATTCAATCGAGCATGAGGTCTTGAAACTGAGATACATGCATGTAAATGCGTCAATGGAAAAGAACCTTGTGATTACATGAATAGGTAGGTAGGTACCTAGCCAGTCTCAAGAGTGCATCGTGACATCATTGGTCCTTGCCCCTCCTCTCCTCCCGTACCTCCCCGCAATCGAGGAATCAACCATTTTAATTCCGTCACTTTCTATAATCACATTATCGACAATTTTCTTTCTCACTTGCTACCTGCAGAACAAGCCCTGTAAGTCGTTGATCTCCTCTTACCGGTTAAAAACCGACCGTTGTCAACCTCGAGACTCAGCTAACCAGAGAACTCATCCATTAGGCGCACTCCCAGCAATTGCCATTCTAATTCATCCATCATGACGACTATGCCCGCATCTCACGGCCACAACGAGGCCTGCTGCAACATACCTCCTGTTATTTCCAAGGGATACGAGGCAAAGGGGACTTATAAGGAGATCGGAGGCTACAAGACTTGTAAGACGACTCCTGGCACGCATGAAGAGACAACAATTAACTTGGGCAGATGTTACTGGTCCCGTCGACGCTAAAAAGGCCATTGTCGTGATCTACGACATTTTTGGATACTTCGATCAGACTCTTCAGGGAGCTGACATTCTCGCCTTTAGTGATGCTCACCAGAAGTACAAGGTCTTTATACCTGACTGGTTCAAGGGCAGCCCCTGCCCCATTGAGATGTAAGAGCTCCCATCATCATCTGTTCGTAGAGCCTCATTAACCGCTAATTTGATATCAGCTACCCTCCCGACAACGACGACAAGAAGAAGCAGCTTGGAGACTTCTTCGGCACATATCCTCCCCCCAAGGTTGCCGGCCAAGTTCCTGACTATGTAAAGGCTGTCAAGGACCAGGACTCTTCCATCGAGAAGTTTGGAATCATCGGAGTGAGTGCCATCTGGTTGCAGCTGTGTTTCAGTACTGACAAGTCTAAATAGTATTGCTGGGGTGGCAAGGTCGTTGCTCTCAGCGTCAAGGCAGACTCTAACCCCTTCTCCATTGCCGCCCAGATCCACCCCGCCATGGTAGATGCTTCCGATGCCGAGGGCCTTTCGGTCCCTACCATGCTTCTTGCATCCAAGGAGGAGCCCGATGAGGAGGTCAAGAAGTTTGAGGACAACCTCAAAGTGGCCAAGCACGTAGAGACCTTCAAGGACCAGATCCACGGCTGGATGGCCGCTCGTGCCGATCTCAGTGACAACCGTGTCAAGGAGGAGTATGAAAGGGGCTACAAGACAGTCCTTGAGTTCTTTGGTAAGAACTTCTAAAGGTGGAAATGTGATATTCATCTATTGAGATGCGAGATGTAACTAGCCTATGAGAAATGAACAAAGAAAATAAAAGTCATTGTTTTCAGACAATTGCGCTTGCGTTTCTCATTATTCATAAAACGTTCTATAATCATGGTTTAGATGCCTTTTCACCAAATGCCAATATTTCCTCCATATCAAGACTTTGAAACTCTCCGAGCTCTACCCTCTCCCCATTATCACCGTTTCTTATAGCTGTGGAGACCATATATTCCTCGAGTAGCGGCATCAGTCTCACGTCCACGCCTTCAACCTTCTTGCCTCTCAGTCGAACCTCTTGGGCCTCCTTCATGTCTTCTGGCGGGGCAAACTTGTGCATCTCTAGGTCTTTCAACCAGCTTGCCAGAAGAGCGTCCCCAGTCATCTTGACATAGGCTTCACGGAGACACCATAGTGCATAAAAGTAGCGCAATGCACGATCTCGTCCTTGGACGGTAGGAACAGGGTTCATGCTCTTAAGCGCTGAGACTTCTCCCGCTCCAAAGACATCGGCATGAATGTCAACGAAACTTGCCCACCCATCTTCTTCCAAGCTACTCAGATCTCGATCTCGCCGCTCTGACGGACAGACAACATCAACTCCCACGGCAAGGCCCTTTGGCGGATCGCGGACGGCCAGAAAAACCGCGAGACCGGCCTGATGCGAGACGTTAAAGATCAGCGGCTCATCGCCGCTTGGCAAAACAAACACGGGCTTAGTACGAGAATCTCGCGTAGTCTTGGCCTGGAACCAGGGGACGTGACAGAAGCGAGAGATTGCGTAGCGCTTAAGAAGAGCCGAAGCGAGAGCGAGCTTGGCATCGCGGACGTGGTAGTATCTCAGGACAGAAGATTGTTCCTCCTCGGTGAGAAGTGAGAGTGCACGTGAAGCCTAAGGTATGACATGAGTATCAGGTTAAAGTGGATGACCAGAGCACTTACAGCGGATGTGAGGTCTTTGGTCTTGAGAGCGGAGGGCCAAAGTGGATGAGTGTCGATCACCCATTGGATGACCGTAGGTGAGGATTGGGCCCTACTCATCGTTGCTGCAACTATTGCCTTGGAATGCCGGAGAGCTAGCGTTTCAGGCTTCCAGTGAAAGAGCCATTTGAAGTAGGTGATGGAGTTGAGACGAGACGGTGACAAGACAGGTGAGACTCGGAAGCCGAAAAGACGAAACCGGGCCTGTCGGAGGTGGGGGTCTTGATTACGGGCCGGCCGAAACACGGGCCGGATGAACATTATCATACAGCAACCAAGAAGTATAATAAGAGGCCATGAAGAGAACTTTGAATGTACTCTACAGGCTCTCATCCCTTTCTTCATTCTTGAGACCTAGTTATGCAGTCGAGTCTTGCACGAGAATCCTGCACCTCTTTTCTCTCCTCGACAACCACAGCCATGATCAGCCATTAAAACCACCACGGCTCATCATGTCCGAGAGGAGACTTCCATTCTTATCTCGTATCACTTCGTTTTCTGCTCGAGTTGAGGCCTTTTTTCTTCTCAGCATAGCAGTATCTTCTTCAACTTCATCATTTGCTGGCTTAAGCCAAACGAGTTGTGCTGCACCGACCAGTGTGTCTACCGAAGCCAGTCCCTTTCACCAAACGAAACAACAAGGACTGTACAAAAGCTTCGGCTCCAGAAACATAAGATGCACTCTCAGCATGCAGCGCGCTCGACTTTTCACTATTCACCCGCCCATCTTAACGCCGAGTGTTGGGCACAACAAAACTCCAGAGGAAGCCCGATCCAAAGCAAAAAGCAATTGCTACGTTGGATCTGAGTGGATGGAACGACCCCTGCGAAGAGTCTGAACCTTTACGCGGTGCAGGGGATTAAGGACGTTGGTGGTGGCCGATGTCTACTAATACAGACTCGAAATTATGTCTTTATTAAAGAGATACGGGGTACGCGTATGATGTGGATGGATACGGAGACACCGAGATAATGATTCTTATTCTATTTTGAAGCAGTCCAGATTTAATATTAATGTTAATGATAATGATAAAAAGCCCCAGTCTTGCCTACCCAGAAGTGAAGATGTACTTTATTGACGCATATAAACAAACAGCCGGCCGATATACGAAGATTTGAACAGCTCATGTCTACTCTATGACGCTCATGTGTTGGATGTCTGGACTTCCGCTGAGGCATTGCTACTGTACTCAGGCCCCGTTATTGAAACTACGGCCATGAAACCTCCGCTTATTCTGTCTCCGACTCAGCATCAACCGAGAGCAAGAATACATGATGGTCTTCCTTGCTTTCGCTCTTGTCACCTTCCTTGGCTTTTCCGTCTTCTTTATCCTTGTGCTTGTCCTCTCCGTCTTTCTTTTCGTCCTTTTTAGTTGTATCCACGACGCCATCTTTTAGTTTGCCGAGGGTCTTGATCGCGTTGCCCTCGCCATCCAAGTCCACAACCACGTCAATCTTGTCTAGGCTTCCATCTTCGGTGTATTTCCACATCTGCTTGATCTCTCCACGCACCAGTCCGGTCAGCCAGAGGGATCCCAGAACGCCAGGAACGAGATACAACAATGCAGGCTGGCCACGCTTGAAAATCAAGAGCATAGCCAAGGTGACCAGCATGCCAAGGAGATACCCAATGGCGGAAGCATGAAAGTAGGTCTTGCGAAAGTGTGCAGCCGCCAAGTCAGGGGGCAGCTGCTGCGACCCAAAGATAAAGAATGCTCCACGCGTCCAGAGGCTATCTCCCCATTTGCCTTTGACGTTGACGTACTTGGCCTTGACCTCCTTATGTTTGGTCTCGCTCCGTGTGATGAGAGCGCCTGATGTCGGGTCCTTCTCAATGAGTTTCAGGTCAGTGCTCTCATACTTGATCTTTTGATCATAATGGAGCCAGAGGTCAAACCGAAGGGCTAAGGCCATTACCATGCCTGGGATGACAATATCGCCGAGTCCAAGAATACTCTTACGCTCTGCAGCCTCGAAAGTGAGCTTGATTGGGACGTCCAACTTGGTTGCTACTGTAACCATATAGGGGCTGAAAATGCTTAGCTTTGGAGTCAATATCAAGATCAATCCTATAACTCACGTGTAAAATACCATTATGATATCGTAAAAGAACAGACCAACCAGGATCAGAGTACTAGTCAAGAAGTCTGTGGGCGAGATGAGTTGAAGGGAGCCATAACACATGGCGTAACCAAGCATATTACTCAACAAGGGGGAGGTAGTTGATGAATAAATGAGCGCTGTGGCTAGTGCCATGACCAAGGACACTACATGAGCAAACTTGATTCGGCCTTCTTCTTTACCCATTCCATGGATGAAGAGCTTGATGGCCCAGTGTCGCTTCAGGAGGCCTCGGAGCTCCCAGCCAGACTTGCGGATCTTCTCCGAGAACGCCAAACAGGCGAATGGCCCAGGAAATGGGTTTTGCGTTTTGGGGATCGCTGCGTCAGGGTTTCCCGCATCATCGCAGACTTGTACCGATCTTGTCTTCTGATCCGCTTCCCGTAGTCGCCCATCACGGCCGCGCCAGTATCGTGGAAACGCCAGGCTGGTCACTACCTCAATGCCATGAGAATAGATAGATACCAGACTAGCAACCGACATGGTAGACATGTACCAGCGAAGAATTTTGTTCAGAATGTCAGGGTCCTTAAGCCATTGAATCAGGTAGTACAGGCAGATAAGGACAGCACCAGCCATAAGCGGGAAAACAATGGCGTCGGAGGGCTCTAGCCCCTGGGCAAAACTCTCCTCGTCGTCATCTTTGGAGCCGGGCTTCTTTTTCTTCGCAGGTTGTGCAGATGGGGGTCGCCGAAGAGCAGCGTGTGCGCCCAGATAGATGATACCAATAGCGCTGAGGACGAGCCTGACTTCAAGCATAACAAAACTCAGATCTTTGATATGGGCAAAAGATGAGAGCCAACTTTGCCCGTTGGCGAGGGTAGAGTTTAGAGCATCGAATGAGCCCTCCAGAGCGGCTGGATCTGTAGCGTTTTCCGCCATGGTTTGACTGGAAGACGTTGCGAATGTTGATGGTGAAGAGAAAGCAACGTGTTCTAAGCCTTGACAAGTTGTGTAAAGTGAGAGAGCTAAAGGCCAGTCATGACATTTCGTGGAAATCTTTCAGCACGTTGATTTTTTTCTTCTTTTTTTTCGGCAGAAAAAGTGCAGTATCGTCTAAACAACAGAATGATAATTTTTCTGCATGAAAGGTCAAAAAAGTACAGAAAAAGAACAAAGTCCTGGCTTGGAGTATCTTTGTAGATGACGTCTGAAAAGTGAAATAGCTCACTGAGCTGAAAGGGAATAGAAGGTTATGGGGCTGAAATATAGTGACCTGCATTTTGCTATAGAGTTGTTTGACCAATCATGTAGCTCGCAGTGCTAGAAACTCAAGGTGCATGCCAAGCCCACCATCATGTTGAATCTGCCTACCTAGAGATAGAGATGCCGACCTTGTTTTGGTAGGAAAAGCACAATGAACGTTGACAGTATGAAAAGGAAAAACAAGCTGCCTTAGCAGTGGTGATACTACCTATGATATATCCCATGTGAAGTGTTTATCTTAGTCTTATAGCCCAACAACTAGTGACCTCGCTCCTCCATGTTGCTAGACTAAAGCTGTTTGTGTCAACGGGTTTGGCAGATCATAAATTTCCCCTCCATCATAAACAACTTACAACCAACAGCATCGCAATCATGACAACGAACATATCACTCGAGACCACAATGGTACGTCGCAAACTCTCGTCTTTGACTACCTACAGCTACTGACAACCTACAGGGCTCGCTCACCGTTGAGCTCTACACCAACCACGCCCCCAAGACCTGCAATAACTTCACCACCCTTGTCCGTCGCGGCTACTACGACAACACCATCTTCCACCGCATCATCCCCAATTTCATGATCCAGGGCGGCGACCCAACGGGAACGGGTCGCGGCGGAACCTCTATCTACGGCGACAAGTTCGAGGACGAGATCGATCCGGGTCTCAAGCACACAGGCGCCGGCATCTTGAGCATGGCCAACGCGGGCCCCAACACAAACGGATCGCAGTTCTTTATCACGCTTGCGCCTACGCCTTGGCTCGATGGCAAACACACCATCTTTGGAAGGGTCAAATCCGGCATGAGTACTGTGAAGAGAATGGGCATGGTCAAGACTGGGTCTGAGGACAGGCCAAACGAGGACATCAAGATTGTCAAGGCTCGCATTGTAGAGGAGGAAGAGGAGGTCTAGATAGAAAGCATTCGCGGGGTGGATTAGACATCTCTAGCATTGGCGTTCAGGATTAAAAGTTACGAGTCGTGGTCGCGGTCACGGTCACGGTCAAAGTCAGTCACAGGTCGCGTTCAAGATCATATATCTGCAAATATCCATTATTGTTGTACTCATTACGCCAAAAACGCCCCGGTCCCTTTTCCATGGATGCTGTAAATATCCGGTCCCGGTAACCTTAGCCAACCAGCTCGCCATTCCAATGCAATGATGTATTGATGATAATACAAGTAGAGTAAATGTTCTTGAGAAGCAAGCGATAAGCAAATGATGTCCTTTGTCGCGTGACGTACTGCCTGCTTCTATCGTATCCAACCATAACATTCATACTGATGCCTGTAGGCCAGGCTGACGTCAAGAGGACAGCCTGACACGCCATCAGATCGATGATATATCGCTCATGGTGCTGTTCCCGAGCGAGATCTACTGGGGAGGGGATGAGAGAGTGTCTGAAGATTCTGATTCTCCAGTTGCCTCGCGGATGAGGCTAGGCTTGGGCTTGGGTGACCCCAGCGGAGGTTTGTTCATCTTAAGCTTCTTAACAGGACTGATACCCTTAGACACAACCTTCTTGGGTGCCACCTCAACGGATTCATTGTTGCTGTAGTCGGCCTTTTGCTCCTGGCTTAAGGACGACAGGCCCTTGGGTTTGTCCTTTTTGAGGCTCGGCTTCGTCTTGAGAATCACCTTCTTGGTGACCGAGGAAGTAGGCTTGAGCTTCTTTTTCTTGTGACTGTTCTCAGAATCTTCCTCTTCATCACTGGCATCGCGCTTCTTCGGGCTGGCGGCGCGGGAGCCTGGCGCAGGAGTCGCCTTTTGTGATGAAGGTGGCGTTGTGTCATTCTGAGATCCGCCATTACTCAACTTCTGCGCTGCAGCTCGACTGGCAATGCGACCACTGTTCCCAATGCACGAGCCCATATGGTTATTCAGTCGAGTGACGAGAATGCAACGCTTGCATTTGCTGCAAGTAGCTGAGGGGAAAGAAAGAACATTGGGTGGTCGCTGTTCGGTATTGGGAGAATCCGTATTATTCTTTTCCATGTCCTTCTTCTTCTTGCCTCGACCGGGCCCTTGAGGAACCCAGCTCTGACCATAGATGTCGCACCCAGGCTTATCAATATAAGGATGTTTCTTGCAGTAGATGACACCGGGATCTGGTTTTTGAGCGCCTTTTCCGTCCGTCGGGTATAGAAGTCGGGGCAGGTGGCATCGGGGGCACAGGATCTCGGCGGTCGTCTTGAGAGGATTGCCCTTCAGCAATACTTTTCCATCCTCGTATATAGCGGCGTCGGTCTCAATCCGTACATCCGGTTTTGAGTCTGGCGTTGAGCTGTCGGACGCGTCGGATGCCAGCTTCTCGATGCGAATGGCAGCGGTGGTAGCTCTCGCAGTCTTCTCTTCGCGGTGCGTCTTCATCAATAGATCGCTTAGAACGTTGTAAAGCACATCGTCTAGTACAGCATGTGCCTGAGGGAGGTTCGCATTAGCGATTAATTAGAAAAGACATTGCCGATGGAAGGCGAGCAATAATTTCGATGCAATGCTGCCGCGATAGGGGGCGCAGAGATGAGCAATCACCACGGAGGGCATGATGGCGCTCGCGGACGGCGACTGGTTTCGCATCGCAGGGAGGTGGACATGTAAAGAAGTAGAGACCGAACACTTACCAACTTATCCATCGGAGCAGCATCATCTGGAGCGCTTATGACGCCCGCCCTGCCCGTGCCAGCATTCATGATGTCGCCGGATATCCTGAATCCGAGCCAGGGCCGACAAGTTTGTAAGGAACAATACTGTAGAGCGGAGGGTGTGTAACTGAAATCGTGTGATGATGCCGAGGAGCGAAACGGCAGCTACCGGGCGGAGGGGGGGTGTGCACGGAATTGCAGCTGGGGTACAGTAGTGTTACTGAGGTGAATACGGAGTAGGGGCGCTGGTTATTGCGATAAGAGAAAAAAGTTTGGGGGAGAAAATATCGAAAGTTGAAGGTGAGAGAATTAATCGTGCAAGAGGAGGAATAATTAAATGTGTCGGAGTAAGAATGACGAGTAATTGTCACTCTGATCCGGATGAAACAATGAGTAAACCAAATGAGTTAACAATAGGGAGTGGTGAGATGAATAAGGTAACAATTGATGAGTTTCTATTCTCCAATCTTGGTTTGTAGGAGGTTCCCAGCGCAGTGCGCTACAAGTTCAGCGTTTGCGTTCGGTAGCTGGGGAGAAATTTGAGGCCTGATGGATCGATACCTACTGACGAACGGCCCAAGCGACGAAATAGATGGCACGCTTATTGAAGCGAGCAATTCAAAAGGAAAAGAACAAAAGAACCACAAATGCAGCGACAAAATTTTTGATGCCAGCGATGAACCAAAGATGACGAGACGGTTGGTTCTGATGGTTCAAAGTTCAAGGGGAAGATTTTAAGCAAAAAAATAAAAGTCAACGTTAGCAGAAGCCACCGAAACTGGGCCTGAGCCTCAGTGAGAGTCAGTGTGCCCCAGCGCCCAGTGCTCACCTCCGTCGGTATCAGCCACTGAGATTAGAGATGTAGAGTTTGGGAGAAGAACGGGCATGGAGTCAGTCATCTCCACTCATAACGAGTCTGACAAGATTAGGGGTTGCTATTTATCTTACCACAGCCCGATAATATTATCATTCAGGGCCCGAGTCTAGCATACTTACCTACAGACGGGATGTGAAAGATATCTAAGGTGGCGTCTCATGGAGCAAGAAAATATCAGACCTTGATACAAGGTGTCAAAATAAACTCAGCAAAAGGTATACCAAGCTCAAGGTATCCTAAACTCATACTAAGTTACCTAAGTCTTTTTGTCATTCAAGATCAAAATCCCGAGTTTTCTTTCCTCCCCTAGGGCAGTTATCGAGATCGATTGATCAAGATCCAGCAGCCTCGCTTGTATGAAGTTTAATTGATGACCATGGCAGATGCAAGGGGCGATCGATCACCTTCGACTTGGATGTCACTCATGCAGCTCATAGTGTACGACTTTTATACCAAAGATTATCCAAAGAACGGAGGAAACCCGACATGAAAGAGTCTATTCCGAGGGAGCAGTCAACAGAATATGTTCCATTACCGTATAGTGGTTATACTCATCCCTAGAGTTGCTCATGTGCTAGATGTTACCATCCATGGATCTACGAGGGATGTGATACTGCACGACACTAACCAAACCACTTACTCATCCTGCATCTCACAAACGACACCTGTCAATCGACTTTCAGGGGCGGGTACCCTTAAGAATATCGGCTGCTGCTAAATTTATCTAATTCCCATCAAGGGACTCCCTTTAACGAATGGCGATCGACTCCAATCTAGATCTCTCACGTGGGATTGGCTATCCCTTCCATCATCTTGAATGCCATTCATTGGGCAATCGGCGCTAGTGGCTATCCAAGAGCCTCATCCCCTTTCTGGTCTTCCATGCTTTCTCGACCCTTTGGAATACATACCTCCACGAAAGCATAATCCTCATTGCTCCGGATTGACACTTAGACTCAAAGAGTGCATAGTTTAGGGTTTCGGCTGGGTGTTTGTCTCACCTTTCCCAACCTTTTGTTTTCTTTTCCCTTGTTTACAGTTGGTTGATATCTGCAGAATTCTGTCTCATATAAACAACCTCCGTCCTCTCTCAACAAAATACAACCTCTACCCGCCTCCATCATCCTCCAACTGCACATTTACTCACCTCCACGTTAATATGTCACTTCCGTCCACAAAACCCGCCCAAACCTCTATCCGATCCTTCTTCTCCGCAAAAACACCCAAATATGCTCCCCCGCCCTCTCAGGGGGCTTCCATAGAACTCCCACGGCCTCCCCCGCCGCCTGCTGCTGCTGCCCCCCCACCAACCTCGAAGGCGCCAGACTCCACGATAGCCTCGTTCCAAATCCCGCCTCTGCCGACATCTCTTCCTCAAGAAGCTACGATCCGGTTGGTCTCGAACGACGATGTCAACGCTCTACGTCGCATCAACGCCCTTCTTCTTCCCGTCAGCTACCCCGACAACTTCTACCAACGTGCAGTTGATCCGACGTCTGGTCGCTTTTCCCGAGTCATCACCTGGGCTCACGATGGTTCTGAAGCCAAGGTCGTTGGCGGTGTCGTTTGCCGTGTTGAACCAATCCTCGATTCCAACAGCCAGGGTGTCATGCCCCAGAATCTATACATTCAGTCGCTATGCCTGCTCTCGCCTTACCGATCGCTGGGTCTTGTGAACGCTGCAGTGGACAATATTATTGCAGGTGCTGTATCGGACCCCAACTTGAATGTGACAACTGTCACGGCCCACGTTTGGACTGAGAATGAGGAGGGTCTGAAATGGTATGAAGGTCGTGGCTTCAGGCGCGAGAACCAACCTATTGAGGGCTACTATCTCAAGCTGCGTCCCAATTCAGCTTGGCTAGTCAGCCGTCCAACTGGTGCTTCTGTCCGGAACTTGCTACCTTCTTCCTCTTCTGCACCTCAACAGAGTGTGCCTGCGAGTGCAACTGCTGAGATTGCCAACCTGGACATAGCGTCAGGCCCTCCCAGAAATAGCACCTCAAGACCTCCCATGCCACAGTCTGGGAAGTCCTATCAAAATCAGCGACCTGAGACGGAGTGGAATGATCTCCCTGATGATATGGCAAACAGCCGTCTCGCGCCGCCGCCCCGGGTAGGAAGTACTGGTTCTGGTGCAAGCTCTAGAAGCAGCTCTGCGGCGCGAAAGAAAAGGGATAGGTCTTATCCCGCGGCTGCGTTTGGGAATTAAGGCATAGACGTGGAAGACGTGATTGATGTAAGGTGCTGCTAAAGAAGAATAGATTGTTTCACGATGGTATACGATTTCAACGGTTCGGATGAGCTAGACGCACTTCAGAAAAAGACACAATATTAGACTTACCATAATAATAAACCAATTATTAATCCAGTTGTACCTCGGGAAACTGAACATCAGATTATTCGTCTTAAAACTAGTTGCCTATACTTATACAACTTTTGAATGTGGATAAAAACAGCCGAAGCGATGAAAATGTCGAAGAAAACGCCAAGGGCCCAAAAATGAACATGATCACATCCCTATATACATAAATCTTGACACGAGTTATCGACTCGGAAAACATAACACCAATACATGCAGTTGTTCATCGACGCTTGTTATACCATATGGCTGCTAGCGCAAGGAGACCGACAGCACCGCCAATGAGGAGTGCCGGGTTAGAGAGTGGTGCTGAATCGACTATTAAATTGTTAGCAAATGTCGCTTAGGCAGAAGCCGAAGTTTGAATGGCTTGGGATGAAGGGTAGAACGTACGGATCGCATCAGAAGACTTGCGAGCGCGGTTGGACTCAGATCTCAAGTCAGTCAAATAATCTTCGGGCTTCTCCCTGCCAGCAGCCACTAAGGCAATCAGGGCGGCGCCGACACCGCTACCGTCCTTAGCGATACCGATGCGGATCTTCTCAGCACCCTGTGGTCCAATGCCGTCAATGGCACGGAGGGCCTCGTAGATCATGTCGCGGAAGAAAGGGTAGTGCTCGACGAGACTGCCATCGACACCGATATCAATAACCTCTTCATCGAGGTCATTGAGCTTGCCAGAGTTGAGGGCGATGGCGCCGATGGCGACAGCTGACAACCGAGCAGCGCGACGACCAACAGCATTGGAAACAGACTTGAAAGCCTGAGCGTCCTCGAGTGAGGGAGTATAAACACTGAGGAGGTTCTCGAGCTCCTGGCGAAGGGTAGACAGCTCAGGGGTATTGTCGGCGGCCGCAACGGACATGATGGAGCTGTCGAGTCCCCAAGGCTTCAGGAAGCCAGACGATGGCGCGATGTTGGTGGTGGTGCCCCAGTCGTTCGTGCTCGAGTTGAGATCCTTGAACAGAGACGAACTCTCATTGTTGATCATATCGGCCATGGCAAGTCGGACAATCTCACCCAAGAACATACCAGACACCCGCTTCTCGAACATTTGAAGGCCAGGGTTTACACTTTCGGCGTCAAGAGCCTTATCCCAAGGTGTTGATGGTAAAACATTGAGCTGGTTGTCAAAAGAACCCCACTCTGTGTTGACAACCATCTCTCCTGTTGATTGATCGTACTCCCCAGAAATAGGCTTCTTGATGTTGCTCAGCTTTTCCATGTAGGCACCGTTGGTGCCGGTACCAAAGATGGCACCGAGCACAGATCGGCTCTTGCTGGTTGAAGTGTAAGATCGAGCCATGAGAGTGCCGACAGTGTCGTTTACGAGCGCCGCAACCTTGACGGGGAGGTGGAGCTTGTCGATCTCGGTCTGAAGCAGAGCGCAGACGTCCTTGCCTATGGCATCAGGAATGTCAAAGCCCTTGGTCCATCGAATTAGCAGACCCTTGTTAATAGCCAGCTGCTTGACAGGGAAGCTAAAGGTGAAACCCAGGCGGAAAATATGTTCATCGCGATAGCCCGAGGGAGTACTGGCAGTGTTGCGACGGCGCAGGTGGGAGTTGAAGTGGTCGGCGTGGTGCTCCTTGAGGAAGATCTCGATCTGCTTGGCGAGGAAAGAAAAGAGCTGTGCGGAGGTCTTTGCGACCATAAGCTCCTTCGGGATGGCAACCTTGTTGTAAGTGAGGTTAAAGGTGGTGTCACCGTTGAGCATGATGGAGCACACTCGGAAGTTTGTGCCTCCCAGATCAACGGCCAAATACAGACCCTGGTGAGGGAGGATCAGTCTGGGCAGCTTCACAAGCCAAATGTGGATAAAAAATTACCTTTTCTGTGCCATTGGGAACGCCGGTGACGTAGGTAGGGATTTGCTGGAGGCTGGTACCCTCTTTGTGAAGGCCCTCATCTAGGAAATTGTGAGTTTGGGTTTTGTTGAGGGTTTAAAGCCAAAATGGGAGAAAATGCGCATCATGACAACGAGCTACAGTAGCACCGCGGCGCAGATTCTACGTGGAGCGAGGGGTGAGCATACCCATTTGCCTCAAGAACTCCTTCACATGATTGTTAAGTTCCTCATCGGAGAAGTCGAACTCTTGGACGATACGGTTGGACTCGTCAGCGAGAGCCATGGTGATAGCTGGTGAGGTAGGCGGCGTGGTCGTGAAGAGAGGGGGGATGTAGCAGACAGCTTCGGACGCTGAAGGGACTGGTGGTGGGGATGAGAGAGAGAATTGAGGGAATAAAAGGTGAAGAGTTCGTGGAGAAAATAATTGGAGGAGAGAGGAGAAGGAAAACAAAATTGAGGCGCTGGCGGACGACAACGAGGTCAAAAGGTTTCTTGGGAATTTGAGCTCTGGCTGCTGCTGGAGCTTGGCGTCACCGTCACTGAGGACAAGCTGGGAGAGCTGCTGACGGAACCTGTGTCAGTGGCTGATTAACTACCAATGACGACTGGAAATGGGGGTGTTTCTGGGGCCTGGGGATCATGGAGTGATGACAAGGGCCAAAGTTTCTGAGACTGGGCATTGCCATTGAGCGTCGCCGAATGGGCCCGAGTTGCAGTGGATTTTTTAAGACCACGAGCCTCACTCCAGCTGCTTCCTTCTCCTGATTGAGGCGCCGTCCCCATGGTTCTGAAGCACCCAACCCAATCGAAGTGTCGCCGGGCGGCCGTGGAGAGGCCGTTCAAGTGGAGAGATGGTGGATGTGTGGTCGGTGGTGCTCGGGGTGCGGGGGAGAAAGCTCATAGAGGCTCCGCTAATACGCCGAACTTGGCCGTGTCTTGCTTCCAACGTCTTGTTTTTTAGGGTGCTTGGTCTCTAATAAACCATGATAATTATTTCTTGAGGCTCACGTCCCGCGTGTATATCCACTGGGATGCCGTCATAAGCCAACTTGGCCCCAGTAAAAATAAATTAAAGAGTTGCCAGTCGTCCCCAGCCGGGAAGATGATGCTATCGTCAAGTCCCTCAGCTGGATGTACCCTCACCAGTAAGGTTTCGGTCAGGTCATGCCATGCATCATCTTCATGAGCCGAGCTCAACCCAGTCCCAGTCTTACGGTACGGGAGGGTGATTTCAGGTCTGGAGAGCCAAAGATGGGGCAACGGGGAGACAAATGGACGTGTGGGTGAAAGGCGGGATGACGGGGTAGGAATGATACTGTAAAATGATATGATGGCCCCAGAAAATACCAAGCACAGGGAAAAAAGAATACCGTGTAGAAATGCCAACTTACCACTATAATCAGCATAAGAGCTACACATGAGACAAGGAACCGAGGCCAACAAGGGCGCTTCTTCGTCTTAATCTCATGTCCATGTCCATGTCCATACACCTGCACCTGCTGTGCCTCCATTGTCTAATTGACCACCACTTCTAAGCCAGGGCCCTGGCTGTGTCTTGATGCACTCTCGTGGTGAATTTCAAGAGATTTTCTGGCCTGCTTTGGTCGCGTGCTTGTCTAAGATTTTCTTCTCAATGAGTCTCGCAGGACCAATGACCTCCCGATCGTAAGAGTCTCGGCAATGAGGTGATAAACAGTCAGAGAGTTCTTAGCAAAGTCTAGATCTCCGTTGTTGTGGTCGTTGCTGAATCGAGGTTGTTGAAACGGCCCGTCTCCCCCGTATCGGGTGCACCAGGAGCGGAAGAAGAAACCGTCAACCTCCACGTCAATGAGCCGCCACCGACTTATCATGCGAGATTCAGAGGGGGAACTTCGGCGCTTGATCTGGTGAGTCTCCTGTTGGGTGATGCAGAGGTCGGGTTGGTTGGTGTAATGTAAGTGGTGGGCTGGACCCGGCACAGCGTTTCGTGGCTTGAGCCTCAAGGACAATAATACACTGGCATTCACAATGTCAGGAACGATATACAACATGCCCCGTCTCTTCCGTGCCGTGGTTTATCCTCGAAATACCGCAGTCGTTCGAGAACAAAATGGTGATCTGTGTCGTGTGGCGTGGGTATAACGAGACGTTTTGAACAAAATGGCAGGGTGGTAAATAGCTTCACGTTTTATGCCTCAGACGCGGGTTGGGAATGTAGGTAGGTAGGCAAGCTTCCGTGGCAGGATTCGAAGAGTCGTGCTCAGTCTTTTCTGTCTTCCTTATTTTCGTAAAAACTTTGAGGACTTATAAGGGACAAAGCCGGTCAAATGTAAAAGATGGTAAACTTCGAGGAAGGCGCCCCCATTCCACGACACCGCTCTTCATCCATGAGCTACCTACCTTAACCAAGAAAGAGTTGAGCTACTTTCCCACCCCCGGGCAGTAATAATCCCTCCTATTAACCTTTCTTAACTCGATAGTCTTCCTTCGATTTCAAGACTTTCGGAGAAGCCATCGCTCTTTTGGCAGCACCGTGCATAACATTAGGTCCGAGGCCTGGATTACGCTTCAATGCGAGTCTTCTGTTCTTGACAACGAATTCTCACGTCTCCCTGCTTCAATCTCTAGGTGAGGGCAACCGCTGAATACTACTGCAATTGAAAGTTGCAGTCAAATTTTATAATTTTAAATGATTTTGTCAACTTCTATAGACGTCTTCGTGATAATGGACGTAGTACTACTAATGTAGAGCCACCATTGTCTCGCAGTCTTATGGCTATCCTCGCCGGACCGCATTCTCTACTGCTTGGCCCATCTGTGTTTTGGGGGAAAACTGGCCTTAATGATCACGTCTACAACCAATCAGAAACCCACGCGCTAACGTTATTATATTCGAGGTTTGTTTGGGCTTCAATTATCTACCGCTGAATCTCTGTTATACTTCATGATACACAGACCGGAAAATCCTCAAGTAAATTTTTATGCCACATAAAAGTCACCTCGAGAATCACCTAACATCTACGCTAGGGATGCAAGAAAGCTTAGGATCTCGATCCTGAGTGATAAAAAGATTTTAGTTGTCTAGTCTAACTTGAAGGGGTTCTTTTCTGAGTTTATTTAATATTCTCTTTTAAAGTCTGAAGCTTTCCTGCCCCTCGAGGCCTTGTCAGCTGAACATCAATTCTCTCCGCTCGCAGGTCATGAGCTGCTCCCTCCACTGCATTTGAATCAGAGCCAACAGGGTAAGCCACGTAGTGCATGTCCGGGGATGTCTCAGAAAACGTCAGCAAAGCCCCGACTACACATAACTCGTCTTGCTGAGCAATTTCAACACGTCTCACAAGGGAAAGGAAACGCAGTAAAGTTCCAAAATGGTATTGAGCCACCTTCTTTAATACAAATAACTGTAACATAGACGTTTAACATGACTGCCTAAGAGAGCTGCCATGAACCCTGCCTGCCCAACTGCCTTGTTTTTGTCCTTCCATGGCTTGCCTGCCTGCCCTCCCTCTGTAAATATCGACCTAGACGCCAGATAAACACGCATAAAGGGGCATTAGACAATTGCACAAAGGTATTAAGATAGAGAGAGCGGCAGGCTCTTGATTTCCTCCCGCCGAGCCTCCATGGTATAGAATGGTGGCCAGCACATCTCCCATGAGTGGTGAATTTTGCTTCTTGAATTCTTCTTCGTCGTTGTCGTTCAAGATTAGAGCGTAAATGAGAAAACTCGCTGGTGTGTCCTCCAGCGAGCTTCGAATAAGGTGATGGTTCGTTAGATCGCTCCTTACATGATAATGGCAGGAATGTCGACGTTAGCCTTGATAGATTTATGGGGGAGGACGCTGCCACCGTTGACGTAGATCTCGTCACCAATTGTGACATCGTCGCCGAGAACTGTCACGTTCTCGAGGCGAGCCCATCGGCCAACGGTGCTGTTCCAGCCGACGATGGTGGACTTGACCCAGGCGTGGTCCTTGACCTTAGAACCACGGAGCAGCACACATCGTTGCAGGCGGACACCGTCACCAATAACGACATCAGGGCCAATTGTGACATTGGGTCCGATCCTGCAGTTCTTGCCAATCTTGGCAGAGGGGTGGATCATGACATTTCCACCGTGGACGTAGGGCTCAGTGGGAGGAGTGAGTTCCTTGCTGCCCTTCTTTGTGAGGGAAGAGAGGTACAGGCATGTACCGCTGAGGAAGTCCTTGGGCTGTCCCACGTCCATCCAGAAGCCCTCAAGGTCGAAAGAGTGAAGCTGGTTGTCCTTGACCATAGCGGGGAAGGTCTCCTTCTCGATAGAAGTCGGGCGGAGCTCGATACGGTCGAGGATGGAAGTGTTGAAGATGTACATGCCGGCGTTGATACGGTTGCCAACGAACTCGACGGGCTTCTCAACAAATCGGTCGATCAAGGAACGGTGACCGGGCTGGTGGACAACAACACCATACTTGGAGGGTTCCTCAACCTTGGTGACAACAATGGTACCCTCATTACCGTGGTTTTTGTGGAAGGCCAGGAGGTCCTGGAAGGGGTAGTCGCAGATGACATCGGAGTTGAGGACGAAGAAGGGAGAGTCGTCCTTAGCGAGAATGCTCTCAGCAAGCTTCAGGGGTCCAGCGGTATCGAGGGGCTCAGTCTCGACGGAGAATTCGATGTTGATGTTGTACTTCTCTTCGTACTGCAGAAACGGTCAGTTATATGGCTTTTAAGGAGAATTTAAAGGCCCCAGGTTCTTACCTCAGCCAAGAACTTCTCCATGATCTCAGGTCTGTAGTTGACAGCAAGGACGATATCAGTGACACCCGCTGCGACCAGCGCCTCAATCTGGTGCACAATCATGGGCTTGTTGGCGAACTCGACAAGAGGCTTGGGGAGAGTGAGGGTCTGTAATGCGCCACAGCATGTCAGTCACACACAAAACAAATATTGGAGGGGTGCACAGGAGTTTCGCGCGCCTGAGGGGTAACTTACGAGAGGGCGAAGACGAGTGCCAAAGCCGCCGACAAGAATAAGTCCTAAGCATTTTTAGCTGCTGAAGAGGTTGCCAGTGGCCAGATGGAGCGTACCCTTCATGATTGCGGTATTGAGAAGCTGTTACGTGGTGGAATGCGTTGGAGCAACGTAAGTCAACAGTGACAGAGAAAGTGAATAACAGAGAGCGACAGCAGCGAGGTCCTGAAAAGAAGGAAGCAACCTCGACAGGATTAGATTAAGGAAGAATAAAATGTTTAAAGGGTATCGGGTATCTCGAGAGATTGAGTATCTGGATCAGAGTCAAAGTGAAGGTCAGAGAGAAAGGGGAAGATCAGGAGGAGAGGAGAGGAGAAGAAGAAGAAGCTCAACTTTGAACTCAGGAGAAAGACCATGAGCAGAGGGAAGTGGGGATGTTCTAAAAAGGCCAACGTGGGTTAAATGCAGCCAGAGAGACGACCTAGGCAGGCTGAGAGTGGGGAACTGGACCCAAATTACAGGGGACGACACGGGCTGCCAGTGCCATAGCCCAGGATCTAACTCAGGTTAGGCACGTTAGTTTTCAGCGCCTTCGAGATTTGACTTCCAGCTACGATCAAGATCTCTGTAGAAACGCAACTCAGTCACTTGTTTCACGATGCTCGAGTTATCTAATCTGCCAGTAGCGAGAGGAAGTCTAATGCTTGTATCTGATTCACGTCATTCATCATTGGCCTTATTAGAGTATGTTTCTGCAGTAACTTCCACAATGGCTACCACCGCCTTTGTTCCCGATCCCTTCATCTCCAGGCCAGAACATCGCAAGGAATGCATCTGGACTCTCAACTCATTCACATCCAATAGTCAGTTAGTCTACGCCTCTCAGACTATTGCCATCTCCCACCCGGGCCACACAGACAAACGATCCGCGACACGAGGTCCTCTAATAGAAAGGGGGCTGCGTGCTCTTCTCACTCCAATCAAACAAGTCTTGCGGGTCATTGTGGCTCTACACCTTGTCCGTTCCCTGGCGAAATTATATTAAACCCCCTGTTCAGCGGATGGTTATTCTAGAATTGATTAATATCTGACATGGTTTTTATTGAATCTGAGAGCAAATTATTATTTGAAACCTATTACTTCCCTCTGCCAGAGAAGGTCTAGAGACCAACAATACCAAGTTCATCAGTAATTAGACCCCCTAATTCCCTACACTGCATCACTTTATGCCAGACTGTGATTCTCAATCATATCAGCTCAAGGCTCAATTGATGGCCCCGACTCCTATTCCACAGTCTTTAGCTTCTCATTTTTATCAGATTGTTAGCTGATCGAGGTCCGAGCCAGTGGCACCATCTGCTCTTCTCAAGGGCATTGATTTAGTTAAAGGAGAACAGGAGGTGGCCAAACAACCACTCATAAGCTGACGTTCGTTTCTACAACCCCTGACAAGGACCCTGCAGCTCATTTACGAGAGTTCCTCGTGTTAATGGCGATTTCTACATTGGCTTTTTTCAACTGTGAATCTGTGATGACCTTCCGAGTATAGCACGCACATAACCCCGTGACTTTATTCAGAGTCTTTGTCACGTCGTGAATAGAAACAACTGCTCGTAACACAAAGAAAGACGTTCCACCTCACCCCATATGACTTCATCGTCGAAGGCGTTTCCATCTCTCAGCCTCTCCCGTGTCTCCATCTGACACGTCTGCTATGTTTAGCGTGAGCCCCTCCCTTTGCTCTTCTCTATTCTGATTGAGCTGTCAATAACCACCTCGTGACCCTCATGTGTAATAAACTTACAAACTCTGTCAACCTCCCCTCATCCTTGAACCTATGCATGTGTATGGGATCCAGTTCAGCCAAATCACGATCGACATGTATCAAATGTTTGATGCACTACGGAGTATGTAACCCTCGTTCGATTATTCACCCATAGTCTCTCCGTCTCACGGCTGCGCCATACTCATAGCTTGTTCGACGTCACAATAGAGGTTGAAGTATGTAACAACTTAGCGCTGCACTGACGATCCTCGCTGAAAGTTTTCAGAGCCAGCAATAGAGTTTGAGATTGGTGGTGTTGTGTTCCCACCTCGTTAACAGCTGACAGCTGCTCGCGTTACCCAGATCCCGACAAATTCGTTTGTTGGTCTGACTTGTCGTTTCCTTATTGATTGCCGCTTTCAACCTAACTCGGCTTCTTGGTAGCATACGCAAACATTGTGGCTTTCTGAAGCCTGGATATTGCTAGAATTGAGTTTGAGCTGACTTCATCCGCCAACCTCAAACAACTGTTGGTGCACAGGATCAAGCCATCTGAGTTACACTGGGAATACCCCAGCTTATTATGTATGTGTGACACTGCAGTCCGTGGCTACATTTGACTGATCATCGCTCGGTTGGTGGTACTCGCCCTGACTCCAATGTCTTTGAGCCTCTGGACCACTTATTCAAGCAGGTCTCAGAATGTATCCTGTAAGTCGTTGGCAGCTTGGCTCGGAACTATATGGTCTCCTCATTTCCCAATAGTCTTCCCTCAAAGCATTTGCAAATCTTTCTCTCATCAGGCGAGAGGGATCACATCGATTGAAAGGATGGCAGATGTGATACAAGTATCACATGAGCAGTTAGAAATGCATCAAGATCAGGAAACACAAGGCGAGACACAAGAATCTACCGGCAATCGAGATTTTAGTAATAGTAGTAAAAAAGGTCGTAATCATTATCGTCGTTAATAGCGCATTGCCATCAAATTGCTCCATATTCCATAGTAGTTCTCATAATTCATCCCAGTCTCATAGTCCTCCACATTTTCTCATATCGTGTCGTGATGGTGAAATTCAACGCTGGCTCCAACCATGCTCGTGCTTTTCCATCCGTCAAAGCAGAATACATATCTTCTTATCAGAGTCCGCCATCTGGACTGAGTGAAGTACCACTCCTCGCTAATCGTCAATTGTTCAATGGACCCCCGAAACAGTGTGCTTTTTCTCTTTGTCATAGTTCGTCAAATTGTCGTCCAACGGGTCAAACCCAGCTTTGTGCGGTAAGTGAGCAATAATGCCACTAACCAATTCAACTTTTAACCAAATGCAAATGTTTTTGAACTCTCCATCGCCCGTTCTTCGTTGTGTCACTGTTCTCGAGCATATGATATCAACCTGAGTGGTGGGTTGGTGGCTCCTTGCCTGCGTGGTGCTTTTCCAGACCAATCGCTATATCAAAAAAAACCATGCAATGTGTGACGACATCCAACAGATCACCGGAAAGGGTCAAGGGAAGAAAATCAGAGCAAGCCGAATGTGTCACAACATCTTTCCTCGCGGAGAAAAAGAACACCGAATGGTGACCTGCAAAAGAAAATGCCGCCCGTGGAAATGTAAGATAGCATCTAAATCGTGTCGTGTCGTCATGATTCGTTGGCAGCAGGTAGGATATATCAAGATATATATCGCTGCTCCCCAGTGAAAAGTGAAGAGGTATGGGGTAAAACAGTAAATGAAAATGAAAATGAGGTTGAAATGTGGTGGTAGTAACGGAAAAGGGGGTAGCTGATAACTCTTCGTGAGAGAGATTGCCAAGGAGGGAGGTTGGTTTGGGTATATCCTTGGGATTGCTGTGAAGCATTTCAACCGCTTTTAAGTCGTCTTGTGTGTGATTCCTTCCCCTCGTGTCTTTCAACATACTCCCATACTAGCTGGCCATAACGCTGATCCAAACTCATCAGAGTATTGCCAAGCTGGACTCAATCGCCCGCCAATGGTTGACTCCTGGTTATTTCTAGTCGAATGAGGCAGTCGAGCTACTGCTGGAATGGTGACCAGATCGCCTACTGTGGCGGTCACTGTCTCGAGAAGACGTGTGACGGCTCTTGCGGCGACGAGACGGTTCCTGTGCAGGAAGTCCTTGAACGATACCATTGCGGGCCAGCATACCCCCATTGACAGAAAAGTTACGGCAGACCATGAAGGCACGCATAGCTGCGTTCTCTTGGGCTAGAACATCAGATTCGTATGCGAGGTCCGTTTGGTATTCCCGTCCATTGACAAGAACAAGGCAAGTGTAGCCGCTATGGTCCCGGTAGCACTCGTACATGGGGTCTGTCCATCCTCGGCGTCGGCAAAGGCCTGTTTCGCACATTGTTAGCAAACGGGTTCATGTCTCTGTAACGCCCAATACACATCCAAAAGAACTGGTATTCATAGCATCCGTCTCAGGATTGAACAATGGGGATCAAGATGCCAAACCCGGCATTTAGTTCAAGGTTTTCCATGTGCCCTCAGTCGTGTCGGACATCAAACTATTGCTCAACCTGTGTCACACAACACAACAAGGGTAGAACAATAGTTGTCTGTCACCACATGCGGGGAACATTTACCCTGCACGCCAACTTTTTTGTGCCTCCTTCAACCAATTGTGTCCCTGACAAGTTGCTGGTACCGTACACATGATTGCCATTGGAAAAAAGGGTTAGACTTCACAGCCGTTGACTTACTCTCAAGATATTGCATGTAGAAACCGCCCATTGTGATGATGTTGTTGATGTTGTTGTTTCTCACTAAATGTGACGAGTGGTGAAGTTGACGATGTGTGAGGTTGCAGTTGCAGTTATGACTGAAAGCTCAAAAGGGCGGGAATTCAAGCGTATAAGAGCTTATTGTGAGGCGGCAAAGACGGTGGAGAGAATGCAGAGCATGAGAGGGGATGTTTTTATGACCAAAGAATATCAATGGAGGAAACGCGAACAAAATAAACGCTTGTCTAGATCAAAATAGACGACTGATGCCGAAGACAGGGTTTAGCTCCGAGGACGAACTCCAGGATCGAGCGTTACAGCGGGTAGAGAGGATGTGGAGGTCGTAAGGGATGTCAGGAACCGAATTGCAACAACTGAAACAGGCCTTGCAAGTCTTGAGCGGCTGTTGAGGGTGGAGGAGGGTCCTGTCAAGATTACTCGATTCGTTGTGCCCAGAGTCAAAAGAAGCTCAAACGGCTGTCGTGAAAGATGAATTAAGAGGGATGGAGAGATTGGAGGAGCTGGAGGGTTTTTGAAACAGGAAAAGACGAATTTGAGAGGAAGAGCAATGTGGGAAAATACACAAGGATAACCTTAGCTGTGTTGAAATATCCGTCTTGAGTAATACTAGGTACTGAGTGTATGTACATCCATCCGCTGCAGTCGAGTTGAGCCGATGGAACGGCGAGACGTGTGTGCCTTTATTCCAGACAGCTTTTTAGCGTGGGACCGGGGGTGTCTGGAGACAAAGGACGACGCGCGAATGGAGATAGATGCAAGCAACGATGCGGCTCTCGAAAGAGTGTGACCCATCTTGCTGTGCTGGCCTACCTGGCTGCCAGTTGATCAAAACCGCTGGCGACTAGGCCACTCCACCGCAACACATGGAGGATGCAGCAAGCAGGCGATCTCTCTGATAAGTCTCAAAGTTAACGCCTTCGGCCACTGGCGTACCTCGAAAGAACTTAGCAGGTTCCTATTTTCCGTCTCAGTCCTTGCTCTGCAGCTAGCTGAACCCTTTCTCGCGGGTCAATGTTTTATTTTCCTGTGTTGTCTCCATGGTGTCATTCTTCTTTGGCGGCCTTATTTGGCCCTCGCTCAAACTTTATATTGTTGTGATCGCTTGCCATTTCTCTTTGTGATAGTTGTCTACAGGACAAATGTAAGCATGGTCAGGGCTTTGTATCTGGCCGAGTACATGAGAACATAAGAGCCTGGTCTGGAATGGGGGGCGATGGGGCCAGTAAGGGCCCCGTTTGTGAAGCTCATGCAGACATGCGATTGAAGATGCACTGCGACATAGCAGTAATTTCAACTTGCTTTAGCTTCACGTCAAGTGGCGAAGAGGAGATCACCGTAGTGGTCCAAGGCGGGTAATTCGATTCTGTTGCCAGGCCGGACGTTCGAAAAGCCCGGTAGGTTCGAGAGGGGCAAATCGGTAGTGGTAGTCACTCTGCCAGCACAGAAGCAGCTTATACCTACGACAATTCAACACCAGACAGCGAGAGTAACCAACAGCATGTACCTGACTCTGACCACCATCCATATCTTGACGTCTGAGATCTCTGTTTCGGCGGCCACTAATGCACAGCAGTGAGACCTTTGGAGTACTGTATCAGTACCGTGCTGTCTATGAGTGCGTAGTACTTTGCGTCCAAAGAAGGACGATGAGCTGCAGTGAGGGGCAATCCACCTTGAACCCCTCCTCTTGAGCCCCGAGAGCCCCGGTGGCCGGAGTTGCTGCAGGACCAATTCGAGCTGTCCATTGTAACCGCAACTAATAATTCGAAGCGAAAATTATCAGGGTCGGGATTGGCATATGCTAGGATCATACTCTGATCCTCGCCAGTCGCGCGCGAAATGGTCGGCCGTGTTGTGCGGCCTAGCCTGATGGCTAGAGTGTCGCGCTGGAGCCGAGCAACGACGACTCAGTGGGAGCGGGCCACGTTCTCTTTCGACTTCATGTGGCGGTTAAGATCATGGCCGATCCGCACACGGAAAAGGCACATCAAGAAGAACGCATATTGTCCAGCTCAGGGACCTATAGGGCTTGTCTTTGTATCTAGCGATGGGCGCTTCCAATCTTGGCCATCGGATGTGACAAGGGCGTCTAATCTTCAGTTCGGAATAGCATCATGAAAGCTGTGACAGCAGCGCTAAACTTTCGAATACGACTCCCGCTATCAGTTCTGTCATTATTTGACAAATGCAAGTAAGGAAGGGGTAGGAACAAATTCGACAGTGACACCACCCGAAGCAGGCGAGGACATGTCCACTTGGATGCTTTCCGCATCCCACTCCCCAGGGCCTGGAGAAAGGGTCGGTGAAGCAAGCAGCGCGACGACGTGCATGAACAGTACAGTCAGTGGCTGGCCCAGATGTTCAACGACACTGCTCACTCAGACCCTTCCACCCCTGCCAACCATGCCCTGCGCCATGCATCCACAGGCGTGGGTGTGGGCGCCGTTAGGGCTGTTCCCAGCAAGCAGCACGTACTGGTAGGAAAAAGCAACAGAGCTCTTGTTACTGTGGCTCGAACATGACAAGAACGGTGAAAGCGCCAAGACTGATTGGATGATGCGCAACAGCCTCTGCTCGAATGTCTTAGGGATAAAGACGGGGCTTCAAGATGAGCGTGACGAGGGATTGGTTGATTTCCATGTACTCAGAGACTATACATAGAACTGGATGACGAGAGAACTTTTTCTTCCCTTTGTGCTTTAACCTTGGACAAGCCAAGTTCTCTAGTGCGATCCAAAGTCTGTACTCATATGGTAGGTACTGTAGTTAGCAGGTACCGAGTCTTGAGGGAAGAGCGCGGCCTGTGCAAAAGCAAGCCAACGTACGTACGTGTCGAAGAGGGGGAAAGGCAGCCCATGGAACGTCCGAACGCCGTAGTTGCCTTATTAGCTACGCCAGGAGGGGTAACGTATGGAAATGGATGGCAGGAAGAACCCCAATAGAAAGAAAGTTGAGGCAAAGACTAAGGCAAGGTAAGGCAGGTGCAGACAAGTTTGGGGTCAGCCCCTACTAACCTCATGCATAGATGTGTTGGCAATGCCGTTCTGTTGATAAAAACAACATTACATTACTTGGGTACTCTATGTAGGTAGGTATGTACATACTGTCCTGCACTGGAACCTCGAGGCAACTTCCAGTGGCGGCATACTCCCTCTGCACAAGCTAGTCGATAAAGAGTACCGTTGTACCTTTTGGGCATCTCACCCTGCTGATGTACCTACTGTATCCATGGGGGTTGGCCATCTTTCTCACTCCATCTGCGCCGATATCAAATCCCAGCAACGTCGCGAGTGCATCCATTTTGAAAGAAGTTATCAATCACATGCGGCGAATCAGCCAGCGGTTTCACCATGCCAGGTATTGGATATCTGGTCCAACAACACATGCATTGCCCAGTTTCTTAGTTACTCTACTTACTAGGGCCGAGCTAACGACAAAAGCATATTCGACGGTAAACAAACGACCTGCCAAGCATCTGCAGGACTGATATCAAGCTGCAGGACGTGGCAGGGATGTTGCTAAAATTCGTCCCTCAAAAGATTCTGTGGGCTTTGTGGAGGGACAAGGGAGCCCCATGCAAACGCGAGCCATGACGGAGCGAGCTTGGTCGTAGCTTTTCAACGTCGAACGACGATTCGACAATTCGAACTCTTCCAGAATTTCTATCTTGGGTGCCGCTAGCTAGCTCTGACGTGACCGTCCAACCGTCTCAGGCAACCCCATAACATGTCGACACGTCCCAAGATACTGCCCGCCAAACCAACTAGAACATGATGAATGGAGATTCCGAGTGTTCTGGGTTTGGGTCCAAATTTCTCGTACAAACAAGTTAATTCCGAAACTTTGATAACCGCCAGCGACGAAAAGGACTTGACGCATTGCACTTCTGCGAGCTTTGTCACCTCCAGCGTATCGCCAGTTGTGTTGCATGCGGCGGCGCCTATGCGGTCGGGAGCAGCAACGAGCAAGAGACTAATCTCATCCTCCCAAACCGAGCATCGTAGCTCCCCATGGCTTTGTTACTCCGGTAGCAACCCTAACAAACGTGGGATGCTTACTACGACTGGATCGTGAGATCTCCACGTCAGAAAAACTTTGAGGGCTTGCTGGTCCCATGTGGCTACGGTTGTGGGTGCCCCACGCATATCATTGATTCCCTTTTTTGTCGACCTCAGCCTCATGTTTCCCTACAAAGAGCATTGGGGAGAGGCGGGGTACCTAAGTTACTTCGGAATTGCTGACATGACGGACGATGACGGTAGAGAGGAGAGCATTAATAAACAGCACGCCTGTAATTCTATATGTGCTCACTTGCTAAGCTTTTCGAGCTCCGTGACAGCTGTCAAACTAGTGCCAGTGAACCAACCATAAGAGATAGGTATAAAGCCATGAGACAGACTCCTTTGAGGTCGGGTAAGCAAGAGCAAGTTGAGACTATTCCTGGTGGTCAGGCGCCTGGTCCGTCTTATTACCAACCAAGATATCTAATTTCCATATCAGAGACATAGAACAGTGGTGTCTCTCAAAAGTCGTATGGAAATTCACACTTAACTTCTACTCATAAAGGCCCACTCGATAGGAACAAGCGTGCAGATATTGCTCCGTCAGAAGAATTGATACCAATAGCAATGGCAAGAATCACAACTAGTTCACGTAAACTATATAAGCACCTGGTTCCAAGCTCTGTGGCTACGGTCACCACGTAGCCTGGACGGCCCTGGGCCTTCTTCATGGCCTTCAATCCACAAGTAAGATGACAAGACAACTTGTTACGTATATGATCAGTAAGACACTTCGTGGTTTTCAGCAGGGTCCAGCTCGGTTATGTCTTGCCGGTCGATCAAGGTGCTTGGGCCTCTTCGATTGACGATACCGAGGACTCTGGTATCGAAGGATGGCACGACTTACAAAGTTGTAACCGTCTGGTCGTGTAAAAGCTATTGCCTATCTGAGACAACTATTGAAACGCCCCTCGTGTTCGAGGCGGGCTAGATCGACTTGTTCTCAGTTTGAGCAGCATGTCCCAAACGAGAAGACATCCGTAGGAGGGTTTCGACTGCAGAAGAGCGTTGCCAGCTCCAATCTAACTCAGATATATAGTGAAGGTCAGAGATCGATACCATGATGTCTATGTGTCTCGTTCATGACAGGGAATATTGCACAACATCGGTTCCCAGCGCGATGCAATATACGCTCTTAGCGGTTCTCAAAGCGAAGCCAAATATTGCGTTTTCTGTTTTTGTCTGCTTTCAAATCTCAGTTGCCACTTGTATCACCATATTGACAGAAGAAGTAAGGGAACTCACTTCAATGTCACGACGTCTGACAGTGAGATCTAGAAGTCCAATACTGGCCGGTTTTGTTTCAGGTGGCAGATGACGACTTGATATCGAGAATGCAGTGACACTGGCTCAGCCATGATTGTAAGATCACTTCGATGTAATGGGAGATCTGAACTTGAATTTAAGGTAATGCAGAGGCTTCTTTTTTGTCTGACGTTTCTTATCGCCATCAGCTGGAAGCTGACCACTCTTGGTTGTCGTTGACATATGGAGCGCGGACTGTTCGGCATGGACAGCTCCCACAGCTTCAATATCATCAACATGACGTAGCTTGTACTATGCTACTTTATGGGAAATTTGTTCATTTGTAACGAATGAATGTTTGGCCAGCCTCAAGTCCCTAGTTTTGATGAAAGTGCTTGTATTCACATGGAGAGTGGACACTTGGTTCTAGAAGGAAGACAGGAACTTATGTCATAGCATTGGCGGATGATAGGATGGCCCTTTGGTTCGTTTCAGTAGTTACTAGATAAGACTAGACTTCAAGTGAGCATATGAGTCCTTTAAATAATGGCTTCATACTCAAAATTTCACCAGGCAGACCAACGATGGGGTCTCGTCCTGATGCGCAGACAAATAAAAACAATCGAATCGATCCGATCCACGCTTTCATAATGCTCGCTTGTAAGTGGCTAAATCGCTGTTGATGAGGACAAGATGGTTGAGCGTTCTCCCTTTTGTGCAATGTTGCCATCTTTGATATCGCGGTAAGTTTGTGCCGATCTGGCTTTCACAAAGCGTAACTTCGAAGCAGCCTTTTGAATAAACCCGCAGAAGAGTCTTTTAAGGATTCAATTGAGGGTTTTAAGAGGGAGTGTCGCTGGTGAGAAAGCCATATTAGAGAAAGAGGCACAGTTCATTATTGACCTTCTCACAGTAGAAGACAGTTAAATATTGGGCTCGGTAGGAACTAACTACCTTGGTAGTTAATATTATCCCGAATTCCAAATTGAATCCTATTCTATTCTTTCAGAACACATCTATTAGAGAAATTGGTCTCGATTTGTCATGCAGGTCTCAATTCAATACGGTTCTCTGTAATTAGTATTACAGGATCAAGTTACAGTGGAGCTCAAGTTCAAGCACTCTATGTCCCAGAAGTATATGACTCAGCTAGACATACAGCCTTGGTTGTTTGATCGAAATGCATGTTAGCTGCACTGTTACTCTGTCATGCCTGTTTACGACACGACATGGCGCCATCAAAGTCGGCTTGTGTGTGAAGAAGCTGAAAACCCCCCCGCGAATCCACTGATTCTGACTCTGATTCATGCATACACTGCGGTCCATGTTTGTTCGTGTGCTGTATCTCTAATCCAAGATGGATAAGCCCAGTCTGTCCAACCTCGACGACGCAGGTTCCATGTCGTGCTTTGGCTACCAGAATGTGTATCTCTGTCTAGGATAGATCACCACAGAGCTGGTAGATCTGTGTGCCCAAGGAAGCAATGCATCAATCCTCGGTATTTCACGTATACTCCCACACAAGATTCCCAAGTACATTGAAAAGTGACATGTCTCAGCTGCATGGGCTCTCTTTTCCCATGGTTTCCAAGCCCCATCCTGCACTACACGAGTGCTGCTTGATCTAGAAGCCATGTTTGGACGAAAAGTAACTCTGCATGGCCTCCACTTTATGCTGCGGAATAACGTAGACGGGATGCACGGTAGCAACTCGATCCTCCTCATCAAAGATCTGTTCGCCATCCATATACGGTGTCACAGACCACGAGTCACCTGTCACATCTGCCTCGTGAGGTCGAGCAACATCCAAGTTCCACTTGTGCTGCGCTGCGCTCAAGCCAGAAAGTACATAGCATGTGTGGTAGGCGTCGGAGTACCTATTGTTGGGCTCGAGTCAGCGCTCATTCAGAAATTCTAGATGCAGGGCCACCAAGTTGCATACTTGCTCGGTTTGTCTCTGAGACCACCCCGCTTAGACTGGTCTTGACAGCAACAAAGGATGTAGCGGATCAAACCGTCACGGCTGAAAAGGCTACCCTTGGCCGCAGGGAGCGCGTGGCCGCCTGAATTGGCCTCTTCCCCTCCAGGGCCGGACCCGGGTCCGTTGAGTGCAGCCTCGATGAGGGGCCAGCATCCTCCGACCCAGTGACTGTAGCAACCGTCGACTAGTTTATTGGTACGACCTGAGAAGCCACCCTCCGGGGCGTACTGTCGCGAAGACAGCCAAGAGATAAGCAGTGGAACATTGAGATGCCTACAGAACAGAAACATCATGACAAGGTTAGCATGCGATGCACCGCTTCCATGTCACGACATGAGTGGTTAGACAAAGGGAGAAGCATACCTCTGGATGGAACGATGTGGAGAATCAAGAATCGAGAGGCATCCGAGAGCGCAAAAGGCATATGCACCATGTGCTTCGATGCCCGGCTTTGCCGACACGCCTCCCTCGTGCGTTTGGCCTTTACGGTGGATGATCAGAGACGGAATAGTTGCTTTGAGGGTTTCGTGCGTCACTTACATCGGTGTACATAGTCTGCAAGCCCAGTGAACAGGCCAGTGTGGCCAGCGGATCGTGCAGGAGAGTCCTGTGATAGCTCAAGAGGTAGATTGAGTAACGATATGATGACGGCCGCGCAGTAAGCCCCCCTACAACTTTGTTAGAAGGAAGTGATCGTAGATGCGTCCTTAGGGTTCACGGCATGAGACCGATGGGGAACTGCGGGCCTTGATCGCCGCGCTGCAGAGAAGAGTATCAAGGTGCAGTAGTACAGCATACACATACCTGACGTCCTCCTCGCCGCCGAGTGCCATCTGGAACCCTCCATCGGGCTGCTTGAGTGAGCATAGCCATCTCCACATTGCTCGACGGTCGATGACCTCGTAGGCGTCTTCACCGCCGACCAGGGCCAGCGACAGAACGGTTGCATAGGATGTGGCGAGATGCGAGGTATGTCCGAATCCGCCAGCGAAGCCTCCATCTTGATTCTGCATAGGTCGGACGGTATCGACAAGTCTCTGACGGTACTCCGTGACATCCTCTCCTAGGAGAACAAGAGCAGACAGACACCAGTAGAAGAACCAGGGCCGACTGGGGTCGGCGGATGTGAAAGCAGCGGGCAGTTTTCCCAGTTGCTTATGCAAAAACTTTACATGGAGGCGACGGTCCAGATGGGGCAGGCCGTGGGAGTTGCAGTAGTCGAATTCTTCGCCTTGAAGATAAGGTAGGACTTCGTCTATCGTTGCATCCTGGACACGCGATGACTCCGTGGGTAGGCTATCGCGGATGAGAGGTTCAGTAGTGAAGAGAGGCGGTATGGAGAGTTCAGCATCGGGCTGTGGCGCTGTTGCAGCTGAAGCCATTCTTGTGTTTGATCTGATATTGCTGGTGACAGTATTGCTGTTGCTGCGTGGAAATAAAACGCGAGGTCGAGGGCGTGTGAGACGAGAACGGGCTCTCATAACTCACTCAGTTGATGAACCAATATTTATATTATGCCCTGTCGTCTTATTTGCGCTGCTTTAACAATAAGAAGTCCGGCTGATATTGTTCTCCAAGCCATGGTATCTCGCAATCCCATCTTACCCCCACATATTGGATTCAAGTGGACGATTTCGTTCCTGTGCCCAATAAGAATATGCGTTTGGCGGGGCATTCTCTTTGTTGGTTACTTTAGTACCAACGACAGGTCATGCCATGAGGTCGATTCCCTCGTCTTTGTGTTGGTTTTAACATTGGAATTCCCATTATCTTGAGCTTGGATCTGATAATGGCCGACGCAGAGTTAGTTGGATTGTGGTGCTGCAGGTAATGCGTGGCTTGTTTAACTTCAAGAAACGTCAATGGTATAGTTGAAGAGGCACAAACTGTATGATCTAACCACCACAACTCTAGATACTTTCTAACACCACAAAGGAATAAGCACGGCAGGAGAGGCATTGAATATAGAAAATTAAGAATAAGTTGGAAAATAACAGTCTGTAGGACGGCCATGTTGCCTGGACACTTGAGGTTATGTACATTTACTTACCCTACAGTCTTGTGCATTCAGACAGGCTGAATGTGAAGAATCGAAAGGTTGTTTTTCAATCCGACAAGAACAATCTCAGGAGACTGTTACGGGACAATTATCATTCTGTGGTTGCATTTAAGAATCTGGTGGTATACTTGGATACATTATAATGGGTTTCAGTAGGAAGTTGTAGGGAGTCATCAACATTTCATTTTTTGTCACTTACACGCAGAAGACAGGTTTCTCTCGCGACATAGGTAGATATCCCGAGAAAAACCAACGTTAGCTTATAGTATATATTTTTTAAAGCCACCAGATGTATTCAGATCTCTCATTGGGTATGGAATTGAATTCTCATACCTCCACTTTGTATGTGGGCAAAGAGGTCGTCAACAAAACATAGTGTTTCTAAACACTAAGTAGTATTGCTTAAACAAACTCGTAGAAACTGTTTAAGGCTTTATCATAGTATAGTTGTAAGTAGCTTGGCGATGTTCAGTCGTCCTTGGGAACCCTGACCTGACCCATTAGTCTATAGTTTCTGACACTCAGTTAAGAACTAAAGACTCGCTGTCAAGCCCAGGGTACCCAGCTTTAACCAGCAGCTAAGCAAGTTGGCCTTGGAAACACTGGTGTGTGTTGAAAATACCGTGAATGATATGTGGTTTTTACGACCGATGCCAATGCAAATTTATACACATAACACTGAACGGAACCTTTCATATACCAACTGATTGTGCAGAGTATTCTTCAAGAGGGAACAGAGTGAAAATTATGATAAATTTACATTTGATATAACTATGATAGTTGATATCGATACCAAACCTGTAGGACTTCGCAAGTCTTGGTGTTTTGTAAGCCAGTGAGAGACCTCGGGTACAAGCCGAGGAGACCAGATACAACATGAGATGCGCAATAGCCACATTTGAACGTGCAAGAACGGAGTAGAAACAGCAGTTTGTAGCCAGAACATCGACAGCATGTCCTCGGCCACCGTCAAACCATTGCACGCCACATGTATCGGTCCGAAACAGCCAGAAAATTCTTGTTAGCAGGTTTTCTAGAAGCAATTTTTGCATCGAGCATGGCTCTCAAGTACCGACGCTAGGGTATTAGAACTTATACGTTAAGGCGGATATAAGTTTCCGATGAATTTGGCTTGTAAGTCCCAGAGAGAAGAACTATTAACACATTCAACACAAAGATATTGTTGCGCTAGTTGACTAGTCGTGCAAGAGTTGTTCGGTTTTAGACGGCTCAGTCTCACACTACTGTAGCTATTGCAGCAGGACGTGATCATTTGCACATTTACGAGAACTTGACTGGATTAACTATCCCAACAAAGGTGAGACAAAGACGGGACGACGCAGATCCCAAGTATTGAGAGACATATGAAAATGAAAGTCCGACGCTACTCGCGGAAGTTGAATGAGTCGAGCGAGCAATGTCCTTCGAAAATCCGAGTTCTCGACCGAAGCTTGGTCCGAACCGAGCCTACCTCCAACTTATTGTCTTTGGTTGGTGGGGGCGCTAATGAAGATCAATCAATTAATGAAAGGAGATATGATTGACCATTTGGTGTTGTGATGGAGTTGTCTAATTGATATGTTTGTGGTTGTGAGCCGATATAAAGAAAGACACGAGAGCCCGAGCTGTGTTGAGGAATAGGTATGAGTAGTTGAAGAACAATGGCATCCTGACTCATCGAATCTGTCCAATAACTGGGTAGCACATAAGAAGCCTGGGACAGTGTCACCTACGAGTCCGGCTGATAACCTTACCTCGTTTAGTAATTCTGTATTGTAAACATATATCAGCATATGGATGCGTTGCGCAGGTCTACAGGACCAACTGCACAAGCCGGTTGGTTTGCCGACATCTAATGTCATGTCACTCTAGCATAACAAAAGGCCGATCCGAGGAAATACATATACCGCGGAATATATTATATTAAGGCACAGATCAAACTATATTATTTGATAAGCCGATAACGTCCTTCAAAACTCTGGAATTCCGCGGGGACAAAACACCACGAGACATTCTGGTACAGTTGCATAGTTGCATGGCATGGCATCTTGCTCCAATATGCACCCATGTAAGCTTGGCCTAGACATTTCCCGGTGGGGACATGACCGGAACTCAAAGACCGGCTTGTCAAACCGGTCCGGGGCATATGCACGATATCATCCATGGTACATAGCCGAGACAAGGACCTTGGAGTAGACGGCTCATGGTGTCTGGTCATGAAGACGATCAACAGATGCGTTGAGTATGAGGGCTAGAAAGGAAAAGAACCAGAGTATAGGATATAGCGCTAGCTGTATCTAACAGCTTGGTAGTTGTGAGGTTGCAGAAAATCGGATTTATACTCCATCAAAGCTCAGAGCCTCACTTATTTTAGTGCCCCCAACACCACATCGGACCCCGCGCTTAATTGATGCTCATGCAGGGAAAACCCACCAGCTGTGCGTATCCGTCCAGTCCAAGCAATATCCCTAGACTCCAGGTTTGCTTTTTCTGTGTTAAATTCTGGAATCTAAGCGGTTCACTCTGCTGAGTCAGTCTCTAAACAGCCTATAACCTCGGCCTTTCTCGAGAGGTCCAAGAGTACTCACTCGTGCAACTATTTTACCGCTCTTCCCTTCTTTCTAACCTATAAGTCTAGTGTCGTCCATTCGTCTACTAAGTTAGTGTCCTTTTATAATCTCTTGTTCTTCTCTGCGTCACTGTGCGGAAAGATCTCAAACTTTGTCGTATAACTTGACTACACTCTCACACATTTTATTTAAGAAACACGCCATGGCTACACACTGCAACGCCCTCCAACAGTTCACCCGTACCGAGGAATCAGAGTTCAAGGGCATGATTCGCTGTGTACCCAACCGGAATCGATTGCTCCCATCCACTACATCCATCTCCAACCAGCCACGACTCCAGGCTTCCTCTCTAGGCCAATTGGATTGTCTCCCCGCAGAGCTTCTATTGTCTGTGCTTGATCTCCTCGATTTCCAGTCTCTGTCCCGCCTGTCGCGGGTTTCCCTTCTAGGAAAGGATGTGATCGAGGACCTGCCGGTGTATTGGGAGACGGTCCAACATGCTCCCGAGGCTTTGGTTGTCTTGGGACAGACTCATCTTTTGGGCTACCATCCTGCTACCTTGCTTCATTCTGCTCTCCGGCAGAGCAGATGTGTCTCATGTCTCGCTTTCGGGGGGTTCCTCTTCCTGCCAACCTGTGAGAGGGTCTGTTTTGAGTGTCTCTATGAGAACCAGGCTCTCCGGATGACGTCTCCGGCTATGGCGAAGGAGTGCTTTAGTCTCACTGACCATGATCTCCAACGAATTCCTGTTATGCACAGTGTTCCTGGCACTTTTGGTCTGAGGTTCCAATTCGTGCATAAGCAGGCTGAGCGCCTTGTCAGCGTCAAGCAAGCAAAAGAGCTTGCCCTGGAGATCCATGGCTCGGTAGAGAATCTGGCCAGACTGAGGCCAACGTATCGTCCCGGGAGAACGTCCATGAAAGATGCTGCAATATTCAGGCACTTTCATGAGGCCCCTTTAGATCCTCCAGGCTGTGATCTCTCAAGACTACCAAGAAAGGCCGAGGTTGTAGAGGATGACTTTGGCGGAATGGCTTCCATCCGTTTCCCCTCCGTCTCAGATGCTGGCACTGATAAAGGTGTTCTTTGCCAGGGATGCCTCGTCACTTATAGCCACTATATGCAAGGTGTGCTTCCTCAGAGTACGCTTTCCGAGCTTGTGCCTGCGAATGTTGGGCCTTATCGACCTCTGCTTGCGCTATTGACTCGTCTATGGTCCACAGAAGGATTCGCTGAGCATGCATATCAATGCTATGGCGTGCGCCGAATCTTGGGACAGTAATAGTCCTATATAAGGACTGAGCTAGAACAACCTTAAAAAGACCTCAGCTGAGGTTTGTTGTCTACTTTGAGATTTGTTAACACATTTCTTGATCTGTCCTGGCTGATGATTGCAGGATCCTCAAAGCCCTGTAGGGCTAGTATTTCCCCCCTTTCTAATTTGTCTCTCATATGCTCATGTCCATCAGTTGTCGGTCTTGCACGCTGAAGGTTCTCAAAAGTCTCACTGCTATTCATGATCAGCTAGCAGGTTTGTTGTTTCTATCCGGTTGCGTTCATATACCCATAGTCGATGTTAATGGTAAACGATTCAATTCATGGTTTCAAATGTCTTTTTCTGAATAACTCGTCAGTGAACAAAGACCTAATCTGGGTAATAGGTGACCTTGGTATTGTATGACTTGAGCATGACTTATTGGCGTGGCGATCCTTCTATGACGTAAAAGACAGTTAATGTATCTAGCACTCGCAT